TCGTTAATTAATGCGGATTGTCTCCGAATGGTATCGGTAAGCGCGTTTAATGCAATATCAACGACGATAATTATTAAATATCTATTCATTTTCGATGCGCGTGGGAAAGAATTATTGTACCGAATCATCCTGGATTTGAAAATGTAGTACCACTGTACCAAATAGAATTAAAAGTATCAAATTTGGTACAAATGTACCACTCGTTGTCCACTCGGTGTTGCATATATTGAAGGCCCGGACGTGGCTCGGTGTCTACTTTACGGAACGTGTCCGGCTCGGGTACGGTCCGGTGTACCGTGAATCATCCTTTAAGCGTTCCCATAGAACATACCCGAATTCTTGCTCGCTCCTGCTCGCTCATCTGGTCTGGACGCCCCTTTACGTCAAACGCAACTTTTTTCTAAAGCCTGCCATGGCTTCACTGAATCATCGATTTTAAAATAAGCCAACTGTTTTTATCTTATTTTTTTGTAGAATGGGCATAATCAAGAGGGCTACTGATACCCTATATTGTAAAATTAAGGTAATTAAGGGCTTATTTTTTAGTATTTATTATAGTTTTGCTAATATCTTCGGTTTGAAAGAAGATATCAAGATGCGGTTTTTTAAGCTTTTGTTACTCTTTACTATCAGCTAAAATTACATATACTATCGTTTTTTTTTTGAAAAACGCGCTATGTTTATTAAGTTGTAAGAAAGCGCCCCCTAGCGTCTACGTTCAAAACTTTATTATTATTATTTTTATATTGTATAATATACAGGGTCCGGCAATAGTGCGTCGGGCATCTGTAGCTCCTAGAATAAAAAACTTGAGAATTTTGTTTAAGTGCAAACCTAAAGTATGTACCAGGATGTATTTCAGGAAAATATTTTAACTTCTATAGGGTGGCTCAAAAAAGTGTCAGTGGACCTGGATGATTTTTTTTAAATGGAACACCCTGTATATTATTGCATTTTTGGCTTCCTTTCAGATCACTTTGCATAACCCTAAGATACATAGACTTAAAATAAAATATAGACTACACTATTTACATTTCAACGCGGACAAACAACCTTTTTTGTACACATGTTTACTTCTGGGTACAGTCGACCGAGCCTTCCTCATCCAGCCTATGTTGTCACGTCTTTAATATTATCAATTTTTTTTTCTTGTTATACACATATATTGAGATATTAATACTACAGTTTAATAAAGTAGGTTTTAATATTCCAAAGATGTATTAAATAGTCCTTATACTACTAAATTATAAGTCGGATACTGTTTAATAAGGATAAGTTCTTTACAATATGACAACACCGATTAGAGGCGAGGGAGCCTATTCATTCTTTATTACCTTGTAGTACGTGTCGCACGTGTGCGGTAAAGCTTTGTTGCCGCTATCTCCCCGGCTGTATTAACGCATTTTCTTTGCTTGTAGTCCTTAAGTGTTTATTTTATTGACTTTTTCTGTTCAAGAACTATAAAATATGGTTCGTCAGTGCCAAATTTGCAAGAAATTTGACTTAAATAATCCATTTAAGTCTTGAAACGAGACCGGTAGGCAACTCTCAATTTACCCATTGGGAGTCAGTGGTGTTGTTGTAGAAAGGCGCTTATTTAGATAATATTTTAGTAAAATGTAAAATCTGAATTTTTTCTCTTACATTACATTATTTACTTACTTACATTGTAAAAAAAATCATAATTATAACCCTGTTAATAATTAATAATGTTTTTATTAAAAATATATTCCGGTTTATTCTAAAATTATCTTCAGAATTTAAAATAACATACATGAATTTTAAAATGATATTACATTATGAAACAATATTTTTAATATACCGGGTCGTCTCAAAAGTAGCTCACCCCTATAACTTTTTATTTTTCAGATAAAAAAAACAGATTTGTATGTTAGTAGGTATATGACATAAATTAGGATTTATTGACGTATTCAATTGTTTTTGGTCTCTTCCTGTTTCACCGAAATGATTACATCTTTTGATTTTTAAAGACACCCTCGGTATATTGCTACTTTATTCGATAAAAAATAACACTCTGAATAGAATGACATATCATATGTCAACTTTTGACATTGTCGCTTAAAAACATATCCTATTTTAAATTTCAATCCAGGGTGCCATGGTGTTGTTAAAAACACTAAGTTTTAATCAAGGAGCCTTGGAAAAATAGTTTTGATCGTCTAATAGGTTTCGTGTCTTGTCTAGGCCGGTTAAAAGATGTACAAATCGTATTTTTAATCATACATATGTCAATTTTTTTCAAATGAAACAAGGGTGACTCATTAGCATATTTGGAAAAAGCATTTTTTATGAATATATTGATACCACACACTTGGTATTTCGAGTCAAATTGTCGTTATGAACCGCGTGTTACAATTACAATTAAACCATATGCGAAAATGTCAAAGTTGACATATTATATGTCATTCTATTCAGAGTGTCATTTTCTATCGAATAAAGTAGAAATATACCGAGGGTGCCGTTTAAAAATTAAAAGTTATAGTCATTTCCGGTGAAACAGGAAGTGACCAAAAACAATTGAATGCGTCAATCAATCCTAATTTATGTCATATACTAACATGCTAAATCTTGTTTTTTTATTTGAAAATATAAAAAAAATATGGGGGATGAGCCACTTTTGGGACGAACCCGGTATAATAAAAACAGTACCGAGTTAAATAAATGTTTTTTATCCACTTCCTATCATCTTCCTTGCTTTAATGGAACAGATTTATGTTTTCTCTAATTTACATAAGACATCACTTAACCAGAAAAAAATTACAACAATCATTTTTTTTTCTCTCCCTGTCGCCGATTCTATTATATCTGTGGAATAAATCCTGTTTTGATTAATATTAGGGGTTGTAAATGTTTGACTAAAATTAATAATTTATTATTAATTTCAAAAATTACATAATTTCGATTATAAAATTTCTTCTATAACGTGTATTTTATTATTTTTATCCTTTTTGGACTCTAAGACGTTTTTTCTAAACTTTTATTTAAAAAACCTGTCCTAAATCTTAATAAAATATAAAAAAGTTTAAATACGATATATTTTTAATTTAAATATAGCTTCATTAAAATAAAAAAATTACCCGGCTATGAGACGGAGAGTTCAGGTGTACTTGAGAAACGAAAGACAGTGTTGTGTTTCTCGGCAGAGTCGTCAGGGAACGACCGTTACGACAGAGTACAACCTGTCTATCGCTCGTGTCGCACTCGTTATAACCTAAAACAATAACACAACAATAACAAGATATTGTCTGACCGCATGTTCCAGCTATTTATGAATGAGATGCTCAGTCTATATTTTATTTTAAGTCTATGCTAAGATATGAATAAATATATTTCGACAGTTTCAGAGATATTAAAAAATAAATCAAAAATATATATTTTTCAGCCCTTCTTAAAAAAATGATTAAAAATACAAGAACTGTTCTGAAATCAAGACTATTTTAGGTATTTACTTTAGATGGTCTCTAAATCATACAGGATGACTAAAATTCTACGCCAAACTTTCTAAAATATAAAATAATTTTTCTTCGTTTTTTTAAATGGAACACCCTGTATATATTTTTTTCAATAGACGGAGAATTAAAAAATGAACATTTTTTGTATTTAGAGTATTTCAAAAATTTGAACGATTTCGCAGATATTTGCAGTTTTATATTTCATATGGCATTTTCTACAGTAAATTTTTATCAAAGCCACCCAATAATTTTTCTCTCGTATTTTACCATTGACAGCGCCATATGAAATAATACTGCGTGTATCTGCGAAACCGTTAAAAATTTTGAAATACTCTAAATACAAAAAATGTTCATTTTTGAACTCTCGATCTAATAAAAAAATAATATACAGGGTGTTGCATTTAAAAAAACAATGAAAAAATATTTTATATTTTAAAAAGTTTGACGTACAATATTGAACATCCTGTATGATTTACGATTACCATATTTATAGCAAAGTAAGAACAGACCATCTAAAGTAAATACCTAATATACTTTTGATTTCAGAACAGTTCCTGTATTTTTTAATTTTTTTGGGCTGAAAAATATATATTTTGATTTGTTTTTTAATATCTCTGAAACTATCTAAATAGATTTATTCATATCTTAGGGTTATGTAAAGTGATCTGAAAGGAATCCAAAAATGCAATAATATACAGGGTGTTCCATTTAAAAAAAATCATGCAGGTCCACTGACACTTTTTTGAGCCACCCTATAGAAGTTTACATATTTTCCTGAAATACATCCTGGTACATACTTTAGGTTTGCACTAAAACAAAATTCTCAAGTTTTTTATTCTAGGAGCTACAGATGCCCGACGCACTATTGCCGGACCCTGTAGAGTAGGAAACGCTCTTTTAAACGAGCCCTCCTTTGTTGGATTCTGATCATCCAGTCCGGAGTTATTAACATATAAATAAAGATAGATCTAACCTTCCCCCGCCACTTTATTTTAGAAGATAGGGGAAAATGATTCTAACAAAAAAAATCCAAAATTTACTGAAGATTATGAAGCTGTTATTTATAGTACCCATTATCTAGGCAAAATTCTGTAAAAATTCTATTTTCTTACTTTCGATAGCAGTTGCGCGATAGCGGCCGTTTTACAAACTTGAAAATAATTTCCAGCAATTTCTCACATTACTTTAGTTTTTGCTAAATTAATTTTGAGACATACTTCATTGCTAGCTGTATTTAGTTTGTTAATTTGTGGTTGTAGTTCGTCAGGCCTATTGACAATTAGAACGACTTGAAGTTCTTCAAGACTAATCGCCAATAACCCGGTATAACAGAAAATAACTAAAAAAATAAACTAAATTATGTTAACAACGTGTGTAAAAATTTCGAAAATGATACCAAATAAATCTTCCTATAGGTGCTACCGGAAAATAACATAAATTCTGAAATTATAATATCGGTTAGGTAGACCGACAGTGGATTAGAAAGTTGTGATCTCTTTGCCTGTAAAATATTTCTTTTTGTTGCAGAAATTTTTGTATGAGTCAAAAAGTAGAAAAACCAGTCCTATCCGGTCAACGCATCAAGACCAGAAAAAGAGGTAAGGCCAACACTCGCTCGCAATATCTCTAATTAATCGTGTCATTTATTGTGTACAGGGCGTCCCATTTTTGTATGTTCTACAGGATTTCTCGTTTATGAGTAGATTTACAAAGATGCGAGTTTCGCATTACTTTGCTACTTTTTTTATACTGAAAATGCTACACTCCGATTTGTCCTAGTCTTTTTAGTTTCTAAAATACAGGGCGAATTTGAAATTGTTGCGTTTTTCGACTCCCCTCGTATCTCGGTTATTTTATAACTTATCGTATCGAGTTATAACTAATCGAGTTTTTGTCGTAGTCCGGTTGAATCCTAGTTTTTCGTTTGGAGCTGTAATTTTCCCAAACTTAATGGGATACCTTGTATATTATTTTTATTTTATTTGTCTTGTTATAACAAATGCACCTTGCTCATGGTTCTAGGAAATAAAAAAATATATATATACAGGGTGTCCCATTTAAAAAGACAAGTTTGAGTCATATTTCAAGAATGACAGTTCCCAGCGAGAAACTAGTTATACCAAATTCAGTGGTATAATATGAAAAATTCTCTGGATCTCAGTTTTCACCCTTTCGATAAGTTATATGATAAGCAAGATGCGAGGGGAGTCGAAAAATGCAACATTTGACACTTCGCCCTGTATCTCAGGAACTAAGAGGGTTAGGACAAATGTCCATGTTCTTGCTGTATGTACATACGTATCTCTACTCATAAACGAGAAACCCCATAAAACACACAAAAATGGCACACCCTGTACAGCCATTTTTTAGATATAAGTTTTGATATTTTAAATTTGATAAAATTTTATCTTACACGCTAAATTTTCTTTGAGAACAGCTAAAGTTAATTAGTAGTAATAATAATAAAGAACAATTATTAAAAAATAAAAGAATATAATATATATAAATTTTTAAAAGATTTAATTTTTTAATTTAAATTTATATATTTTTTGGAAATTACAAACAAAATGTACTTATTCTATATTCATAAAAGCTTCCTAACGAATTTTTGTTGTTTCAAATTGCAAATAGGATACATTAAGTTGAATTTGAATATTAATTTAATGCAAATATTTTTTATATATTTTATCCCGTTAGTACATACATGTAACATTCCTGAGTAATGTCTATAAATAGTAGAATTTATTTTCTGATTGATGTTAACAAATAATATTGACTTAAATAATAATTGTTAAAAAAATAATCACATATTGGGAGAGAGATTTTTATAATTCTTTTAGTAGATAAGTGTTAAAACAAAAATTTTAATCTGAACTTCAAATCAAATTGAACAAAACATTATCATAAAGATCTCTGTACTGTCGGTAATATGCTATTAAAATAATTATTACATGCTACGGAATTTTTTAACGTGTTATTGATGTTTGCTTGCGGTAAATAAACAAATTTTTCATTACATTTGTGATGACACTAATCAGTAAATAATTGATATTAATGTTAGAGCAAATTTTTGTTGATTTAGGTATATTCCCCATTTTACTAACAATATACCGGGTGCGTCTCAAAAGTGGCTTACCTCTATAATTTTTTTTTTTTATTTTTAGATTAAAAAAGAAGATATGGTATGCTAGCATGTATGCTATAGTGTATAAAATAAATAACTTTGAATTTCGGCCGTTATTTTTTACCAACATGGCAAATATATAATCCCTCTGTCAAAAACGTTACTGATATTCTTTAAATTGTGTGCCTGAACGAATCAGATAGGTAACTCTTTTTACTTTCGTGAAATAGAAAAAGAAGATAATAAAACAAGTGACAGTTCTTCCTCTTCTTGCAAAAATCAACACGAAATGTCATAATTGTCAAAAGTAAAATGTCATCAGCTTTTGACATTTCTAAAAATCAGACCAATGCCGTCTCTAATAGAACAGCCTCAAAGCGAAATTTATGACGTCACGCTAGTTAGATACTACAGATTAATAAATATGTTGTGGAATACATGGAAAACATAACAATTATTCCTCGTATTTTTGGTTTGTATTTTAAAAATGATATAGTTTACATGGCTTCAAAAACATTTTTTTACTATTGGTAGATATTGAATGTTTTTTGTTAAATTAGATCAATTTTCAAACCCCAAAATTTAAAATTTATTTTACATTTTACCCATTATCTTATATACCTATTCATTATTTGTATATTGTAAAATATTTGCTGCATTTGTAGCATATATATTTGCTGCATAAGTATTTATTATTATAAATAGGTATATATATATTGTATTTATTAACTGTATATTATGCATATTTCATGTAAACTATATCATGTTTAAAATACAAACCAAAAATACGAGGAATAATTATGTTTTCCATGGATGGCTACAACATAGTTATTAATCCGTAGTATCTAACTAGCGTGACGTCATAAATTTCGCTCCGTGGCTGTTCTATTAGAGACGGCATTGCGTCAGCATGGCCGCAAGTTGCTAACCTAATAAAATTAGCATTAGAAAAACCCGCGGAAACTGTTAAATTCAAAGTTATTCGTTTCACAGACTATAGTATATGACATAAATTAGGATTGATTAGCGTCTTAATTGTTTTTGGTCACTTTCTGTTTCACTGGAAATAACTATAACTTTTAATTTTTAAATTACACTCTCAGTATTTTTTTTGACTTTATTCAATAGAAAATGAGACTCTGAATAGAATTATTCTTTTCAGATACAGGGAGGTAAGTTAAAAAAAAACTTATTTTTATAATAACACTGATGGTCTTTTAGAAAACTTTAGAACCCTGTATCTCAAAAGTTAAGATTTTTAGAACATACATTTATTTTTTGTTTCTTACAATTGGTCCAAGAATTGCCCCACTAAATATTGGCATGTCCTTAAGAAACACGCTGTATATTATTTTAAATAGTTTTCATAATATTGTGATTGATATTGGAGGCGAATAAAATATAAGTTAACCTAGTTTTGAATTATCTGATCTAAGACAAGTCTATTACTTTGGATAATTACCTTGGATAATTGGGTTATATTACTTGTTCCTTTTTTTTTAATTAAATCAAGTTAAATCAATAGTCAAAAGTGTACTTATACAAGGCCCAATAATTCCACTTTTGCAATTGAAGTTAACCAGCGGCGTATTTGTCTGGTTTTTCTTAGAATTGAGATTTTATTATCTTTTTCTAATCTGACATTTGTCTTTTTCAAATTTATTTTTAGAGTTTCCTTTGATATATCTACGTTTTGATTATTTCAAACCGCAATTTTCATTGCAATAAAGTGCTAAAACCACTAAAGCAAAAAGTCTGGTCTCTATTCAATTATTTTGAACAGGAAAGAGATCATGGCGGGGCCCGCCACGATCTTTTTTTGGTGTTAAGCTGCGGTAAAGAGGAAAAAATTGATATTTTTGCTCAAGTTTTGCGGCTTTTATTGAAAATACATAGATCTTACATAGAGCGTGTTTAAGCTGCGCTCAATATCAGTTTACGGAGTGTGAGTAGAATCGCACAAAAATAAGACACTTGTCAAAAGTCATGGTGAAAGCCGTGGCAACATTGCGACGTGCGCTCGTCTTTGAATAAGAAGACTAAGGAAGGAGCAAAATGCTATCCATGTATTCATGCATGGTGGGCGGAAAAAGGACTCTAGGGTGGGGATCCTTGACAGTTCTGTTTGACGATTCATTTGACACGTTTGAATTTGATTTGAAATTTTGTGGATTTGTCAGTCTTTACGGAGCTTATTTTATATTATTTATTATTTATTCTACTACTGATAGTTGTATAAAGGTAGTAAATCTAGATGGAAATTGTGGCAGAACTTAAATTAACAGTGACACCATCGCGATTTATCGAAAAAGACTCTAAAATAGTTGGTTGTGTAGCGTGCGGTAGATCTCGGCAAAAATTGAGTGAAATAATTTCGCTAGTAAGTGACTATATAATATACACATACGTGTAGAAAACCGATCATTTATGAAATTCACTTAAATTAACTAATTATATATTTTTTCTTGCATTTTTGCTTTTATTTACTACTTGTCAAAGAATTTAGATACGTCAATTTGACTTACCTGTTTCAGTAGCGTATCGGATGTTTGTGTTAATAAATAATTAATAAAACTAAAAAAAATACAAAAATCTAAATTTTATTATAATATGTTTTATAACAATTTTAATAACTACCAACAATTATTCACAACGTAAAATAAAAAAAAATATTGGGTCTACCCCACGTCTACCCTACATCATAGTTTTACATTTTTTAAATAAAATTAGAACGGCACTGATAAACCGGAATTTAAGTCGGCCATATTTGAGTCCCATCGTGGTGGACCCATGTGGACCTAAGATTTTTGATATGCTCCTTCCTTAGTCTTCTTATTCAAAGGCGCTTGTCAAATATTTTGATGACGCGCACGCCAAATTTACTGATTTTTCTATATTATGCTACATTTAAGTATTCCATATGTTACAGCCTTCTTAAAATATGTTGGTTTAATAATGATTTTGTTGTTTCAGATGAAAAAGAGAGGTATGATCCAACTGGGTTTCGGGATGCAATAATTTCTGGACTCGACAAGAGCGGCGCAAACGACTTTGAAGCGATCTCGCGGTACTTAGATCTCGGCGGCAACAAATTAGATTATCGCCGATATGGAGAGTGTCTCTTTGATATTCTCATCGCCGGCGGCATTCTTGGTAAGTCACTCCCGCTATTATTTCTTTATTTTTCTTTTAAGGCTCGTTTTCACGAGCCAAGTCACAGGAATTCAACTGACTTGGAAGAATATTCCGTGTTTACCCATTTCATATCAAAAATCTTCTGCTAGTTGATTCAAAATGCGGCGACAGCGTAAGCCTACGGCCACACAGAAAGCAATTTTTGCATTTTTCGCGTGAAGCGTCTTTTGCGACTAAAACAAAATAACAGGATTGTATAGGTGTGGCTCGACCAAAAGCGTCTAACGTTCGGCGTGTCTCGCAAAAGACGCAAATGAAAACAAATCAGTTTGTTTTCTGTAGCGTCTTTAGCGATTTCTAAGATGATACCCCGTCATAGGCGGACGTAATTATTAATAATACAATAAAAATAAATTAAATAGTATGCAATTTTTTTTTCATTTTATGATATTATCTGAAAATATGTTTATAGAGAACATCTACTGTTTAAGAAGATTCTATTAAATTGAAGGAAATGAAGGACGTGGTTGAAAAAGTGTAGTTTGAAATGTTGAAAAAGTAATAAATAAAAAAAATATATTTTATACGCGTAAAAAATAGTTTTTTTATGCTTAAAAAGTGTTTTTTTACGCGTAATAAATAGTTTTTTACGCATAAAATATAGTTTTACGTGTAACAAATAGTTTTTTACACGTAAAAAACAGTTTTTTATGCGTAAAAAATGGTAAATATTTTTTTACGCGTAAAATTGTTATTACGGGTAACAAATAGTTTTATACGCGTAAAAAATATTTCTTACGTGTAACAGTTTAATTCGCGTAAAATAAAAAAATAATAAAATTAGTTTTTTACGTGTAACAAATAGGGATGGGTAAATTTCATTTTTCACCTTATGTTGAAATTTCATAATGAAATTTTCACTGAAAGATTGAAATTTTGGAAATTTCAGTGAAAATTTCAAAATTTCAAATTTTCAATGAAAATTTCATAAATTTCCTGAAATATTTCACTGATTGAAAATTTCACTGAAATTTCATGAAAATTATGAAATTTTGAAAAAAAATTCATAAAAATTTGGTGTATGGTGAAACACGTCATTATTTTTAGCTGTTCTCGAGGTGGTCCCTTTTAGTTGTAATTTAATGGATCTCGGCGTTTTTATAAAATTTTTTACATGTTTTTTTAAACGAGTTGCATTTTTGTAATGAATTTCATTACAAAATATGCACTTTACTTTTTTGGTATTATTTTGATCATTAGAGAACTATTTCCAAATACTATTTTTAGGCTTAACCATTATTTCTGTAAAAATTGCAATCACAGAACACAGGTCACAGGTAGAGAAACAGGTCACAGAATAAACTTTATGAAATGTGAAACACAAAAATGCACATAAATAACAAATCTAATAATACATCAACATTTTCAACGAAAATCATAACCTCTATCTATCTACTGCGGTTTTTCATTTGTCAAGATCAAGCGCCGGTCCTCTACAGACGGGCAACCAAATCGAGCAAATCAACAATCGATACCTACTACGTCGATATACGGTCAACATACGAACACGATAAAGGAATTCGCGAGGTTTATGAAAATTTCACTTGAAATTTCACCTGTAAGTTGAAATTTCACGATACATTTCTGAAAATTTCACCTCTGTGCTGAAAAATTCGAATTGAAATTTTAACTTGAAATTTCAATGAAATTTCACTTTTTTAAAATAGTGAAAATTTCACATTGAAAAAGTTGGCGACATCCTAGTAACAAATGGTATTTTCCACGTAATAAATTGGTTCACTTTTACGAAATTTTTGTTAAAATATCAATATTTTTGATAAATACGTGGATTTCTCACATATACACGTCGCGTCACTACGTATTTCTAAGCCGTTACCACTAGCTCGTGTGTCAGGGCCGCCTTGCTAGCTCGTATGTCACGGCCTTTTACTTATAGCGCGCGTTTTTAAGTTTCACTTCAAAAAGTTCGATAAATCATGCTTTAAAAACATAAAAAAATCTATACACAAATAAACTATCAATCCATCCTAGCATATCTTTTATCTTCGTCTTTTCAACGCTAACCCCGCCGAGTTCGCCTCTCTCTTTCTCAAAGGGTTGATTCTTGAACGGGCCGGGAATTCCAAGAGCTTTTTCATTAATAATCTACAGCTTGATAGAAACTAGAGACCTACCGCTTCTTTTGCGTGTTTTTAATGCACCCAAATCGAAATAAAATTTTTAAACGGTAAAATCGCAAAAGCTCTTCACGCGCAAAAACGCAAAAAAGTAAAGATCGCTTTCTGTGTGGCCGTGGAGCCCAACATTTTGGCAGTAGAATATACAGAAAGGTCAGGTAGTATAAATATAAAAATAGAATTGAAATTACTCATAACAAAGTCAATTTGATGTATAATTCCTCTTAACATTTATAATCTACGAACTCACAAAATATTTAATTAAGCTGTCTAATTATCGAAGATGTTTACTGTAATCCGTGCGTTCGACCTTCACTTCTACTGTGACACATCAGTGACGTCGCTAACTCGGACGTCAAACAACATAAACCCAAGCTTGATATCGATTGTCGACATCGGCTGACCCTTCTGATTGAACTTACCGCAGAATTTATATCTAGTTAATATAAGGAACAACACACAAAATTTATCGTTTCTTTGTTCGGCGTAATTGACACGAGATGACACGAAATTAATTTCACTTGTTATCGTGATTGTGACGGAAGACGATATTCGAAACCAGAGTAATATACGTATTGTATCCAATTTAGAACTGATTAACATTTTATAGTCAAGTAATAAGATAGATGGGATTTTTGAACGACATACTTTGTTATTTCGTTTACGAGGATTAATCTAACTAAATGTGACAACTGTTATTTTTTACGACCCAACTGTTGCAAATAACAATTAAAAACACACTTCGTAAAATTTCCGCTTTACATCATTAACTATCCCTTTTCGCGCACTGTTACTTATGCAACTGTTATTTTTAAGAAGCAACAGCTTCTACGAACTGTTATTAATAAATAACAGTTGTAAGATAACAAATTATTAAGAGCCTGGTTCTAATAAGGAGACATTGCTGTTCCCGCACTGTTATTTTTGCTATCTTATTTTTACAAAGCAATAACTGTTGATAGTTGTTAATTTAGAAATAACAGATTGATAAATATGCAACATGCGACTTCATATGGCTGTCAGGGCACTCTTATTTTTATAACGGTTATTTCATAACTGGATTTTTTATATCTGTTATTTTTTTATGTTAAAACTGTTGCAAACTGTTATCCAGGGTGAGTCTTAAATAAGTGCAAATATTTTCAGGACTGATAGATCACCATAATAGAAACATATATTTTCTCTTTATCGCTTTTCAATAAGTCCAGAATAACTGGGATATTTTATTTTGAAAATTTCAAAAAAATATTTTTCGTTTAAATTTTGAGAACCACTGCATCTTTTTTAATTTTTCTTATTTTTCAAAAAATTCCAAATTTTCAAAAAAAAAATCCCGAAAATACCTCATCTGGGTCGAAATATACTACTCCTAAAAATATTTCCACTTATTTAAGACTCACCCTGTATATAAATAACAGTTGGAAAAGATTGATAAATATCAAGATGCTTTTATATAAGGAGTCGTTGTTTGCGCACTGTTATTTCAGCAACTGTTATTTTTAAAAACCAGCGATTCCTGCGAACTGTTGTTTATAAATAACAACCTACTTTTAGCATAAAGAGGCACTGCTGTCCTGTCATTGTCATTTTTGTAACTGTTATTTTTAAAAAGTAACGATTCTTGCGAACTGTTATTTTTAACAGATCGATAAATATCAAAGTGCTTCTACAGAAGGAGACATTGCTGTTCGCGCACTCTTAATTTTACAACTGTTATTTTTTCGAGGCAGCGACCGTTGCGAAGTGTTATTTATAAATAACACTTTGTAAAAACAGATTCATAATAATTAAAAATGTGCTTTTATATAGGGAGACATTGCTGTCAGCGGACTGTTATTTTTGCAATTCAACTGTGAGTTAAAATATAAAATAACAGTTGTAAAATACTTTATGTCAAATTGCTTTGACATAAAAACACTTTGCTGTTTGTTCACTCTTATAACTTATTTTTTCGAAGCAACAACTCTTGCGGACTGTTATTTATAAATAACACGTAAAAAGATATTGCTCTCTGCGCACTAGTGATGGGCAAAACTTTATTTTTAGATAACAGTTGAAACTGTTATAGTTATTTATAAAAACAGCATAAAATAACAGCTTAAAAATAACAGGTTTCTTTATTTTATTGCTAAATATTCTTAGAAATCTATGAGGCGGTCACCGCCAGGCGTATTAACAGCAGTTGCAACAATGACGTGCTCGGTGGTAGTATTTCCAGGGTGTCATAACATTTCTAAATATCGATTGTTATCTAAAATACCTCTCATAAAAACGGGGATTGTTTACAAATAAGCGCTGTTTACAAATTGCGATATAAAAAGCCAAAATGCCGCCACTGTCGATATCTATAAATTCCGATCTACCTACGCCCTACTCCTCGATCCGCGTAGATTCTGAATTGCGTAGCAGTGTACAGGGTGCATCTCACTCGACGGGCGAGAAGCTCTTCGTTATGATTTTACCATTTGCGGTACGCTCCCGATAGCAATATAAGAAAATGTGTAGTATATTCTTCATAAGTAAACCAACTACACACTAGAGTTCGAATTAATTTTACACTTAAACTAGCATGTACAGTTTGACAAATATAGGAAGAGACTTGGGGATAGCACCGGTCGCGCACACGATAGAGAGAGAACGCATTCGGCGGAAGAGAGATGCAGTTACGCTACGAAAAATCTGATTGAAGCAAATTTGTGGGATGTCCACTGCGCATCGGGGGCGTCTCTTATTTTATATTTCTCACGTCTCTAGCTATACTTGTTAAGTTGTACCCGCGACTTCGTTCGCATCGAATTATTAATTTGTAATGGTGATGATAAAGCAAAGCAAGAATTTCCATTAACATACAAACTGGATAAAATTTTCTCACATTTGCCAAAAATTATGTATAAACCATAGGCATCAAACGGAAGGCCCGTTTCGTGGAATAATCAATTACCTAACTTTCTTAACACCCTGTATTATTTTTTAAAAAATTTCAAAATATGTAAAAAAATCAAAATAAATTATGCGTGTCCAATCGTTTTCCCTACAAGACTAACCGTTTTTAAATAATAAATATTGTAATATTTGAGGTGTAATCGTTTTCACCCTCTTGGAATTTGAGATTCGAGAAACCCCTCCTTATCGCACCTCTACACCCCGCAGTCAATCCGTTTATGAAAAATCAGCTTTAAACGTCAAGCAGTTTAAGCAGAATAGTGATTACTCAGTGGTCATATTTTATGAAACACCCTGTATATATTTTGTAAAAATCTCAAAATATGTAAAACAACAAAATAAAATATACGTGTTTAAGAGTTTTTCGAAAAACTCACCAGTTTTTAAATAAAAAGCATTCCGCTTATTTGAGGGTGGTTTCACCCCCTTAGAATTTGAGTTTCGAAATATTCCTTCTTATCGCACCTCTACACCCTAAAGTCAATCCGTTTTCCAAAAATCAGCTTTTTACGTCAAGGGCTTTAAGCAGGATCGTGATTAATCAATGACCAGATTTTTCAAAACACCCTGTATACATTTTCAAAAAATCTTAAAATATTATTCTGAAAATTTTTTCAGAATAAATAAATACTTAAATATTGAAACAACAGGTTGAAAAAACAATATGTATCTAAAACAACTGATGCGTTATTCTCCAACCTGTTTCAAACCTCCGATTATCTCGAACGAAGTTCTGTTATGCTTTGTAACAGGTAAAAAAACAACATAGCTAAATCAACTGATGTGTTATTCTCCAACCCGTTGCGAGCCTCCATCGACAATCGACCGATGCAGCAGCGCTCCTTTCCCACTCCTGTTATCTCGACAGCCAGGGTCTATTTTCGCAACTGTTTCAAAAAGCTGCTTCTTTTATATCCTATTCATTGTTGCTGTTGTCAGCCCAACACGACGCCGCGCCGTTAACGGCATACCCCACTATGATAACGTCCGTTGTATCTCGCCGCCTGTATCGATGGTTGTCTGAAATAATAGGTTTTCCATCCATACTAGTTGTTTTTTGGAATTGCTTCGAGCAGCATCGAATTTCGTGGCGGTGCAGAGCGCCGTCACTTCGTTTCACGAACACTCGATCTCTGCTGTTTGTTATTTTATATCTGTTATTTTTTAAAGCAGTAACGGTTGCGTTATGGATTTCTAAATAATTGTTATAAAATAACAGATAGTTAAATAACAACCCATCTCTCTGCGCACTGTATTTTTGTAACTGTTATTTTTAATAATCAACGATTCGTGCGAACCGTTATTTATAAGTAACAGTTCTAGAATAACAGATTGATCAGTAACAACTTGCTTCAACATAAGGAGACTTTACTGTTCGCGCACTCTTATTTTGACTGTTACTGTCACTGTCATTTAAACTGTTATTTTTTAACTGTAAACAATAACTCTCGCGAACTATTACTGATAACATAAGAGCTTGTTGACAATCCTTCACTAATATTTTCGAGATAGCTCATTTGCTGTTTCTCCTTAGCATTTTTATATGTTTGTATATATTTTTAACGATTATTTCTTTACAGTGCCGGGCGGTAGTCTTTCCCAAGAAGGCGATGGGCCGCACAAGACGGACGCGTGTATTTTTAACTCCTCGGACGAGATCAATATGGAAGAAATGAAGAACTGGGAACAGGTCTTCATTAAGCTGATGCGACGTTATAAATACCTGGAGAAAATTTTTCAAGTAAGTTTTTTTTCGATCGATAATTATATCAGAATCGCAAAATAAAACACTAATTCACCTTGAGCGTTTATATAGGCACTCGGTTGGCACTAACCAAGCGTGACACAATTAGCCAAGCCAGTCAAAACTAGTCGTGCCTAGCAATTTCATTAGTTTCTGAGACTAGAGCAATATGACCAGAGAACTGGACGGAATTGGACCATTATCTCTGTTCATATTATCTTTTTCCTTTATTTATTTTGACGCTCTCATATGCATCTAATGGCCTGTAATTTGGAACGTGTTTGATTAATTTTAAATTATTAACATCGATACAATCATCTTTATCAACAATATGTTGAGCATTGCCAAGATTTATCTGGTCTACCATATCTTATCTGAGCGATATGTTCTTTAAATCTAGTTAATATTGATCTTTTAGTTTACCCATCTTATTTCTGATTACAATCTTTACATGAAATCTCATAGATAACCGACCTTTCCAGTGGAGGTGTTTTATCTTTAGGATTACCTAATAGTTGTTGTAATTTATTAATAGCACTATACACAAGTTTATAATTACCATTCTTAAAAAAAAATAAACCACGGGATGACTATCAAAATAGTATTGAAATCTATTTTGACGTATTTTTCTCCACTTGAAAAGTCGAATTTGCAGAAATCTCAAAATTACTTATACCTACCTGATAAGACTCGTTATGAAAATATATCTGTGTAGTAGTATTTTTTCTATGGATATCAAATATCAGGCACTTATTAGTATTTGTAATAACTAATACATCTAGGAACGGTAAGTTAACAGTAACACCAAAAATTTCAACTGTAACACTTTCCAGAGGATTTAAAAAAATCGTAACTCCAAAATTACAGTAGCTAGCGGAACGCGGTTTTCAAATTAAGATTAGGAATAATATTTGCAACAAAATTTGTAATAACATCAAAATCAGTCAAAGTCGCAGTTTTCGAGATATTAACATATTTTAGTATGGGCTTGGTATGTATATTTTTAAAAATTCGTTTTAAACCACGGGTTGACTCTCTATCAAACGGTATTGACATGTCTTATTAACAACACTAAACGTTGCGCAATAGCAACTATTAATTAAAAACGCCTATCCATCAATTTCTAATTGTCGAACGTTTTTTTTTCTCGTTATAACTGTAATTATCTCTCTGTCTATAAGCGTTGTCTGAACGCAATCAAAATATAAAGCGACAACATAAAAACTTGGCATAGAAAAAACTATTCGTTTAGTCCGGTTATTAAGTCGTGAGAATTGATTGATAGGAGCGCAAAAAAAATCTTATGCTATTTATAGCGTTAGGTCAAATGATTCGCTCTCCAAAGTAAAATAATAATAAGGTTTGCCGTTGGTACGGATGTTAATTTTTAATCACATTGACGATTCTCTGAGTTTTTGAAGGATGTTTAATTCATCGGATTGCAACTGCTATGATAAAGTTATTGCGATATACATTCGTTGTTTTTTTTTGCTGAAAAGTAAAGTACCCAAACTCTTCAAAATACTATAATAAAAATGGCAACATCTGAAACACCGGTTCCCGATAGATCACCGCAGTTAAGCAACTTTAGACGATGCGATTGGATGGACGGGTGACCATCTGGAAACTCTGTCGTGCTGTTGTACTATGGCAAGAGAGTAAAATCTATTGACACATGCTGGTTAAGCCTTGATTTTCATGTATCCGTTGTTCGATGATACGAGTTAAGTAAGACTTCAATTGGTTAGAAAATTACGTAGTTTTTAAATTTATAGCATTTTCGTGCCTCGTTCATCGAATATACGATTTACTTGTGATTGGTGTCATTCTATATTTTCATTTCCATAACGATTTCGCTGTTTCACTTATAGTCTAAGAGGTAGGAACGTTTTTGAGAGAGAATTTTAAGAAAACTGGTTCTTTAATATATCTTTTCTTATACTCTCCTGAACAGAGTATGGACCGTCTGGCTGCCAGTAGACGTTGCGTTTATTACATCGCATCATATCTGTTTGCTACTGCGCATCAAAAATTTGCTCTGTATTTCATGAACTAAGGAGGCTAGCACATACCTACAGTACCGGCCAAAAGTGGAGAAACTTTTAAAATTTTTACTATGTCAAAACACAGTTTACTCTCTGCAGAATATGATACCAAGAAAATATTTCGCATTTAATCTGCTTTGTATAGCCATATAAAAACTGCTTATTTTGTGAATAAATTTGCAGGTAAAAAATTATTTACAAATTCCAGCGGACATAAGTGGAGAAACCTTATCTTGTTCTTAACATTCTGTGAGATATTCTCTTGTTAAAGCGTCTAGATCGTGGTATTGGGTTCACAGAGCGTTAAAAATATGCCGCGCGGGATAAATTTTTAAATGGAATTAAACAAATTGATATTGCTAGACACTTAAATTTACATAAAAGTGTTGTGTGCAAACAGATTGTATAGATTTTGTATAGAAGAAGATTAGAATTTGTATAGAAGTGGTAGGACAACTGCCAGTATACCCAGGCCCGGAAGACCCAAAAAAACAACTTCGGCGACAGATAAAATAATAAGAAGATATTCACTTAGAAATCCATTTTGCACTGCGGAGGATATAAGGAACGAATATCCCTTTATTTCAACATCTGTTAGGTCCATTAGACGGCGTCTGAAACAGGCTCAACTAAATGCCAGAAGGTCTGCCCGAAAGCCGTTTATTTCTAAGAAAAATAGGCAGGTCCGACTACAATTTGCATTGGAACATGCAAATTGGACCTATAAGCAGTGGAAAAATGTACTCTGGTCGGACGAAAGCAAGTACAATCTGTTTGGTTCGGATGGTATTATGTGCGTGAGACGTCCTGCTAATGAGAGATTCAATCCCAAGTACACCATACCCACCATCAAACACGGAGGTGGGAACGTTCTAGTCTGGGGTTGTTTTTCTGGTCATGGGGTCGGGCCCCTTATTCAAATAGATGGAATTATGGATCGTTATATATATTTAAATATTTTCCAAGAAACAATGGTACCTTATGCTGAATCCTCTCTCCCATTAACCTGGAAATTTATGCACGATAATGATCCGAAACACACTGCCAAACTTATTAAGGAATTTTTAACCGAGGAACAAGTTGAAGTGATCAAATGGCCAGCTCAAAGCCCCGACCTGAACCCTATAGAGAACCTATGGGATCAACTAGAAGTCGATGTTAGGCGTAAAAACAGGGACAAATTTAAAAATAAAGATGTTTTGTTCGCTGCCCTATTACAAGCCTGGAATGAAACATCCGGGGACGTAATAAAGAACTTGATTGAGTCTATGCCCAAAAGGTGCCAAGCAGTCATCAAAAGTAAAGGCTATGCAACCAAATACTGAGACTAGCGACTACAAATGTATAAAAAATACCAGTTTCTCCATTTTTGTGTAAACATTTTCGTTCTTGTAAAACGGCAGCAAATAAATTTAAAAAGTTTCTCCACTTTTGGCCGGTACTGTATGTGTAGCATATTTAGTTTCAAAAAAAAAGTAGCAAAGTAATGAGAAAATCACATCATTGTATCTCTACTCGTAAATGAGAAATCCCATAAAACACACGAAAATGGGACATCATGTACAGATGTGATGCGCAGTAGTGAATCGCAGTAGTCTACCAGACAGCCCGCGCTTTGGTCAGGAGAGCATAGCAAAAGATATATTAAAGAACCAGTTTTCTTAAAATTCTTGTTTTCTCGACGGTGCTAGCTCTACAAGAGTTGTTCGAGTTGCTCCACCGACGTTGTACTATTATGTTTTTATTAAGGTTAGATTAAATTTGTGAAAAAAATGTCAAAACGTCCGTTATCGTACAATCTTTATCCGTTGACGGGCTAGAGTAAAAAATTTACGGATGAAAAGTGGCGCGAAAACGCTATGACCAATCAGAGCTGCTTTGGACCATCGATCGTATCAACGGATAATGGACGCATAAAAATCAAGCTTTAACAGCGAAAGGAGGCATTAACTAAACATTTACTTTCTTTAAATAAATCTTATAGCTAATAAAATATTATCTGTAGCTGATTTAGTAAAATTTGATATTAGATTTTTTATGGTTCATTTTTTAGTGTGTTTATTATGGATGTTGTATTTATGTTCCAATAGTTTTAAGAGGCATTCTTTGTTTGTTGCAGGATGAAATAAAGAAGATTTTAATGTTTGTTAAGTATTTCAAGCAGACGGATCGGAAAAAGCTCGCAGCCATGTTGTCTTTGTGGATCTCAAACGGCAGTGTGCCCTTCGCGGCCGTACTTGTGCTCAACAATTCTCATCTTGTAAAGGTAAGAACATTCTATAAGTGCCTCTCTCTATGGAAACTACTTGGATTGATTTTTTAGCCAACTGTATACCAAGTTGCCTCAGCTTAAATAAGCTCAAAGAACCAATATCAATAGTCTTATTTTTTTCTTAATCTCGCTAATTCTTAGAATGTGACGTGTAAAAATCTGTTTGTTTCTAGGATCACTTGGCACTGGACTTTCTCATTGACATATTCAAGTACTGGAGCACCGAGAGGGGCGTGAACTCGTTGTACTCGGCGGTACGCAAAGCGAACCTGGAGCAGCATTTCTCCACATTCATACCTGACACGAAACAATCTCAGGTAAGACTATACCAAAATAAAAACATTTATCCAAGTCTTCTTTTGTTAGCGTCGAAATAACAATTACTTAATTTGACGTACGACAGATTTGGTAAAGTAAATTAACACCAGTACTGGCATTCTGAGACTGAATATTCTCAGAATGTTATCGTAAGTTGTTACAGTAAATTATGAATTAAAAGTTCTACTGTGAAATAAAATGGCATTTTTAAAGAAACCAGAAGGACACTGAGACCCGTTTAACTGTTCTATTTTATCGTTTAGGTCTATTTTAGAAATGCCTTCCAAGAAAACGGACTGGAAGAAATCCTGAAATTGTACGAGGATCAACATCAACAAGCCGCTAAAAAGGTCAGTTACAAACCGATATATACCGTGCGGGCAACTCTTACTTTTGGGTCGGTATTTACATGTGTAGTAGTAAATCGCGTAGGGATCTTATTAAGTAGGAATAAGAGAAATGCGACGGTGTGCTGTTGCGGCGTTGTCACATTTCTCCGGTACGCCTTTCCCTATCAAGTAATATCACGATTGCAACCCGCTTATTTTTAAAAGACTTTTTTTTCGAAAAGATTCCTAGATAAAATCGTTAGATATGTTTTTGAGCATCTGAAATGGATTTATAAGGATATCGTTTGGGTGTCCATATTTTTTTATAACGAGAAAACGTCAGTAATCGCGATAACTCAAGAACAACTTTAGATATTGAAACTTTTTATTATTTTGAAGTTTGAATATTTTAGCAGATGTTTAAATGAGAAAAATTCGATGGGCTTGTTTTTTTTTGTTCAAAAATTTTAAAAAAACCCTCCATTTACTTTTAGTGTGTAGCAATTTTTAGCAATTGTGTAACTTTTTTATTTAAAAGATTTTCACATACTGCCTGCAAAGAAAATATAGCAGGAATTATAAAGAAAATTTTTGAAAAAAATACAATCAATTATTTCTAATGGATTTCGAGATATCGATTTTTGAATTCAGAGTTCTAGTAGCGCGACCACTGTCGAACGCCAACTCAATTCCACGTATTTTTATCAAAAGTGCAAATGTTTCTGATTTAAAAATTTACAAGCTATCAGGAAAATTACAAAGACTGGTTAATAAATAAACAAATAAAATATAACGAGACGTAATTAAATCATAAAGCTGAACGCATGATATACACCCTTCTCTAGAATTTTAAGTACTCATTGGGGCGACCAGTCGAACGCGACGAATCTGCTGTATCCCATTCCAAGTCTCTTAGTAATGTGCACAGATTCTCGGTTTATTTCATAAATTTGGCAACGTTTTTACTGTTCTCTCTTTCTTCAGTACATTATAAACGCATTGTACTCTTCTTATATCTGGAAATGTCGACCTAAAACTAACCTTTGCCAGCCTATAATATATACCTATGATTTTACTTATTTGTTTATCTGTAGGAATTGCAATCTCTGTTGGCTGACGCTCTGGCCGAAAACAAACCCCTGCGCGACGTGATCGCCGAAATCAAGGACATAGCCGTCAGGGACAACATTCAGCCGCACGAGACCGTTTGCATTATCTGGACGACCGTTATGGATATTCCCGAATGGTCCAAGAAAGAGGTAATTATTTTTATTCACAATCTATGAAGCGTAGAGGTATTTACTAAGACTGGGTAAACCTGGTCCTGCTTCCAGCGGGGCAGGTACATACATATAACGTGCTTCATAGTTTCTCTTCACTCAAAATGATATTGTATCCACTAGTGGGATAAAAATTCTTCAATTTCCTCTCATTCTAATACTTTAGCTTTTTTCACTTTGTATCTTCTGGATTCTCTCGTCAAAAAGAAAGACACAAAGCTTACCATATTTTCCAATATCTGTGTTTTTGTAAGCCTTTCAAGTAGCCTTTAACATGGAATACTTTGGCCACTTGGATGAATATCAAAGTTCTAACTCCTAAACATTCTACATCATAACAATTCATTTAAACCAAAAACTCGATACAAAACTAAAATGTCAAAATGTCAAAAATAAAAACACTAAATCACCACAATACACCAAAACACTTTTACTTTTACACTGGATGCGCGTTTCGCTAACCATGTTATAGCATCATCAGCAGATGATTATAAACTAAAGTACAATCTACAAGTTGAGCGTTTATATACTCGCTCAGTGTGCACCGAGTGGGCGTGGCAGAATCTAGCCAACCGAGTCAGAGCCCACTGAGCGTAACAGTTTTCCGCCACTAGAGTAGTAGGAACAAAGAACTTGAAGGAATTGGACCGTTGTCTCTGTTCATACTATCTTTACATTTATTAATTATGCATCTAATTGCCTGTAATTTGAAACTTGTTTAATTAATTTTAAATTATTAAGATCTATACAATGTTCTTTATCAACAACATGTTCGGCAACGCAAGATTTATCCGGTCTACCATATCTTATCTGAGCTAAATGTTCTTTAAATCTAGTTAATTGATTGATCTTCTAGTTTGCCCAACATATTTCTGATTACAGTCTTTACAAGAAATTTCATAAATACCCGACCTTTCCAGTGGAGGTGTTTTATCCTTTGGATTACCTAATAATTGTTGTAATTTATTATTAGCACTATACACAAGTTTATAATTGACATTCTTAAAAATTCCTTGTAGACCACGGGATAACTCTATCAAACGGTATCGAAAAATATTTAGATGTATCTTTCTCCACTTGAAAAGTCCACTTTCCAACGAAAGATATGAAATAAAAAGAGATTACATTAGGAATGTAGCTGAGTGTAATGGATATTCTCCTTCACTAGTTGATAAATTAATTAGAAAACGTAGGTATAGGTTAATGATTTCTGAAAATTCGACTTTTCAAGTGGAGAAAGATACGTCTAAATATTTTTCGATACCGTTTGATAGTTATCCCGTGGTCTAAAAGGAATTTGTAAGAATGTCAATAATTATAAACTTGTGTATAGTGCTAATAATAAATTACAACAATTATTAGGTACCTAATCCAAAGGATAAAACACCTCCACTGGAAAGGTCGGGTATTTATGAAATTTCTTGTAAAAACTGTAATCAGAAATATGTTGGGCAAACTAGAAGATCAATATTAACTAGATTTAAAGAACATTTAGCTCAGATAAGATATGGTAGACCGGATAAATCTTGCGTTGCCGAACATATTGTTGATATAGAACATTGTATAGATCTTAATAATTTAAAATTAATTAAACAAGTTTCAAATTACAGGCAATTAGATGCATATGAAAGCATCAGAATTAATAAATGTAAAGATAGTATGAACAGAGACAACGGTCCAATTCCTTCAAGTTCTTTGTTCCTACTACTCTAGTGGCGGAAATCTAACTGTTACGCTCAGTGGGCTCTGACTTGGTTGGCTAGATTTTGCCACGCCCACTCGGTGCCCACTGAGCGAGTATATAAACGCTCAACTTGTAGATTGTACTTTAGTTTATAATCATCTGCTGATGATGCTAACATGGTTAGCGAAACGCGCGTCCAGTGTAAAAGTAAAAGTGTTTTGGTGTATTGTGGTGATTTAGTGTTTTTATTTTGATTTCCATGGTTGTCAACAATCATTTTAATAATCGCGCCCTGGATAATGTAACTGAAAGTTTATTTGGTATCGATTATAGGTGTTCTCTTTTTTTGTCATTCAGTATACATTCTGGAGAACATTTTACAAAACTAGGTACCGATAAAAAGAATCCTTTTAAGCAACCAATTATCTTATCTACAGGAACTAGTGACTGACCAGGCCGTCCGCCACCTCAAGCAGTACACCGTGCTGTTCTCGGCGTTCACGAACGGCGCGCGCGCCGAGCTCTCCCTCCTGCTCAAGGTGCAGGAGTACTGCTACTCGAACATGACCTTCATGCGCGCCTTCCAGAAGATCATCATGCTGTTCTACAAGACGGACGTCATTTCGGAACAGGCCATCCTCAAGTGGTACAAGCAGGACTACAACGTCAAGGGCAAGATGATGTTCGTCGATCAGATGAAGCAGTTCGTGGAGTGGCTGCAGAACGCGGAGGAGGAGACCGATTCTGATGCGGAGAGCGACTAAAGTAAGTCCTTTTGATACATATGTAGAGTCTGTAAAGACTGGGGATGAGGTAACCGTGATTTTTAGGGTTCCGTACCCAAAGGGTAAAAACGGGAACCCTATTACTAAGACTTCGCTGTCCGTCCGTCCGTCTGTCACAAAGGTCTATCTTATGAACCGTTATAGCTAGAGAGTTGAAATTTTCACAGATAATGTATCTATGTTGCCGCTATAAGAACTAGCGGTGGGAACTATCGAATGGTTACTGAATGAATGATTTCAACTATGGAATGGTTTTATTCGAATAAAATCATTCATTCATTTGTATACTAAAGCATATGTGACAACCTCGCCGTGCGACTAAATGGTTATCGTTGGGCCACGAGCCACGACTATCGAATGATTTTGATAAATGAAATTTAGTATTCGTTTGATTTTTGTGTGCGTCAGTGCATTATTAGTTTTTCCAAATTTTTATAACTTCGTCTTGTAAATACTATGCTATTTTTGCGTTTATTAAAATATTTAAAATACTAAAATAGTAGTTTTTTTTAATTGACGATTGTGTGCGAAGTGGTCAAAATTTTTCCGAAAATTTGTGTGATTTTCCGTAGCCCGATCTTTCAATTATTTAATTTTATATGGTATATTATGGTTAGGTTAGATTGCATTTTTTTAATGGGAAATTTTGAGAAGTAGCAATTTTTAAGAGAGATGAGATGAACTTAATTTTAAAATACATATTTGTATTTTAGATGTTTTAATAATATGAATTAGTTGAACTTAATAATGATATTTAAGTAATGTGGTTAAGTAAAAAAGGTTATCGAACTCAAATTTTGGGGTGATAAAATTAAATTGAAAGTTTTACACGTGCAAATTTAAAAAAAAGTTAACAATGTTTGTATTTTGTTTATGCTAATTCTCTTACTTGTAGTTTTTTGCGAAGAAATATTTCATTTATTTTTTAAAGTAAATGCCAGTAAAAGTAAATATTATTTTTAAATAGTAATATAAAGTAATAAAAAGTAATACAAATAATTTTGATTTCTAATTTTTTATTTATATTTTCCTTCCATTACATTTGTTTATATTTCATGATTTTAAAATTTGTTGTTAATATAACAAATTAGTTCTGTAATTATTCTTATTTAATAAACCAACGTTGCCACATTTAGAGACTATATTATTTTTAAATAGGGTCTAATATAAATACTTTTGACTTCTATTTGTTGTTTATATTTTGTTACTACTTAAAAAAAATGTTTATATTATTAAATGATTTTAAATTTTGTTGTTAATAGGTATAACAAATTATTACTGTTATTATTATTTATTAAACCAGTCTTTGCTTAAAAACATTAAAAATCATTTTCCTACATCCAAAATAAAAAGTATTATTGCAGTGTAGCAACAGAATATTAATAAAAAAATGCAAAACATTAGACATACTATCCCTAACTAACGAATGCTAAAGAATAATATTCTTTGCTAATACCAACTAATACGAATATATGGCAACAGCGCCCTTCATAATGTATTTTCTGTGTAAATACTAGCACCTCAATAAAAAAAATAATGTGTCCTTATCTTTATTTAACTCCGCAAAAAATCAAAGATGCCGGCCTCTTTCATAGCATTGCGTCGCCGGACGACAACTAAAATCCAGTTTATATTTTATTAAAATCGATCCTGACGAATAAATGAATTTGATAAATGAATGGTTTTTGCTGCTGAATTACTAGAATACAATATTTCAAGGCAGATGACGCATCTATTCGAATAGTTTTCGACGAATGTTTTCTTACTAGCTATCGAATTATTCGAATGAATTGCAACTATCGAATCTTTCGATAGTATTCATTCGATAGTTCCCACTACTAATAAGAACAAATGCTAAAAACAGAATTAAATAAATGTTTATAAATAAATCTTTTTCTTTCTTTTTTTAAAAAAAATCTTATAAGTAAGAATTTTACATAGAATCTTTCATGTCCTCGGTGATAGATATGTTTCTGAGCATCTGAAATAGAATTATAAGGATATCGTTAGGGTGTCCATATTTTTTATAACGAGAAAAGGTCAGTAATCGCGATAATTTAAAAGCTCAACTTTTTAAAACATAACACGCGATAACTCAAGAACCATTTTAGATATTGAAACTTTTTTTTTTGAAGTTCAGATCTTTTACAAGATGCTTAAAACAAAAAATTGCTAAAATTGTCCCTGGCTTCACCCCCTATGTTTGGCACCAAAAAAATGGCATTGGTATAATTATACATCACATATTTTGCTCCAGTCATTGGAATTTTGATGAGATATGTGTGGCAACATTGCATTAAATTCATTTTTTTTTGTTTTCAGGACATCTCAACATCAGGACACCAAAAAAATATATAAAAAAAGAAAAATAGTGCCACCGATAACGACCCAAGAAGAGAACGGTAACATTTTTTCCAATGTATATATTTATATCAATTTTTTTTAAACTAATATATTAACTAATAACATATATATGTGTAAACATTCTGGTGCCTTACTGTGTTGGTGTGCGTTCCGCAGGCAATAGTGACCATGGGTAATTGTAATAGAAAGACCCGCGTAATTTCTATTTAAAGTAATTGATAAAATTGTAACGAAAAAACGAGCTGAAGTTTTAGTAGTGCATCGGAAAAAATGATATTTGTATCAAATTGTAACGCCAATATGTTATGAAGAAATTTACTGTTATATATAATGATTTATTGTCAATTTTTTTAATATACAGAAGAAATTTTAAGTAACGATTGCGTTTTTTATTTTCGGTTTCTTGTTTCACACGATGTCTCTTTTGTATTCTCGATCAATAAATATTTTTACAGACTAATAAAAAATCACCTTTTTTACACCCCATTTTTTCCCTAATATTTTAACAAACAGTGTACAGAGTGGTCCGAATTGTATTCCGGAAACTTCGGCAGCATATTCTGCAGATAAAAATAAGTAAAAAAGATCGTATAAATGTATGTCCTAAAATGATTAGTTTCGGAGATACAGGGTGTAGAAGTTTCATTTTTATTTCGATTTTTTCCAAATAATTTATGAAGTAACGTCAATATTTCAATGAAAATTGGTGTCTGGGGGTTTCTTCTGGGAGAAATTTGATTTTGATGTCAATATGACTCCTATTTGTAGGACGATCAATAAATATTGTACGAGGTTTGTTACATGTGTTGTAACTGTTGTGATGAATAATAACTTTTTGTCCTTACCTGTATAAAACTACGGGAGTTTTTCTATGTAAAAAACGTCGCAAATGTATATCTTTTTACTCCGTAGTTTTATGCAGGTACTGACGAAAAGTTATTACTCTTCAAACCAGTTAAAAATATGTAGATGGCGCCCTCTACAAGTAAGAGTCATTGACACTTGAGACTGACATCAAAATCAAATGTTGACGTTACTTCACAAATTATTTGGAATTCTCTTACAGTAAATATCATGTTTTTCTTACCAATTCCACTAAACACAATGCTTTAATTGATAAAAGCAGTATTTCCTCCATGATCTTGGCCAGAAACTAATCGAAAACAGCAAATAAAACTTCCAGTGTATGTACGTTACTCTTTAATACCGTATGATCCTTTGATATGAATAAGAAGACTAAGGAAGGAGCATAATGCTATCCATGCATGGTGGGCGGAAAAAGGACTCTAGGGTGGGGATCCTTGACAGTTCTGTTTGACATTCATTTGACACATTTGAATTTGATTTGAAATTTTGTAAATTTGTCAGTCTTTACGGAGCTTCTCTTATGTTATTTATTCTACTACTGATAGTTGTGTAAAGGTAGTAAATCTAGATGGAAATTGTGGCAGAACTTAAATTAACAGTGACACTATCGCGATTTATCGAAAAAAACTCTAAAATAGTTGGTTGTGTAGCGTGCGATAGATCTCGGCAAAAATCGAGTGAAATAATGGAACAACTTTTCGCTAGTAAGTGACTATATAATATACATACGTGTAGTAAACCGACCATTTATTAAATTTACTTAAATTAACTAATTATATATTTTTTCTTGCATTTTTGCTTTTATTTACTACTTGTCAAAGAATTTAGATACGTCAATTTGACTTACCTGCTTCAGTAGCGTATCGGATGTTTGTGTTAATAAATAATAATTATTAAAACTTATCTATTTTTATTATAATAATGTTTTACCCAATTTTAATAACTACCAACATTTAATCACAACGTAAAATAAAAAAATATTGAATCTATCCCACGTCTACCCTACATCATAGTTTTACATTTTTTAAATAAAATTAGAACGGCACTGATAAACCGGAATTTAAGTCGGCCATATTTGAGTCGCATCGCGGCGGACCTAAGATTTTTGATATGCTCCTTCCTTAGTCTTCTTATTCAAAGGTATGATCGAATAAAAACGGCGTCAGCGATGGCTATGAAATGACGATCGATGACATTTTCCATATAATTTTACATATAAAATGACAGCGATCTTCATTTCATAGCCCTCGCTGACGCCGTTTTTATTCGATCATACGGTACTTCTTACCTGACCATTATAACTGACAGATAAAAACGTTACGTGTAGACTGAGCTTTATATTTGTGATGTTCCATGGTTAAAGGTCTTAGAAGAAATGAAAAATGACATTCATAAAATTTTATTGTAAAAATTATACTTATTACACCTTCGACCAAATCTTATATCATTATTTATAATATATTTTAGTTTACGATATTCAATAACAATTTGATTTCTTAACAAAATAGTATAATTTTTTCTCTAAATATACAAAATAATAAATAATATTCCGCGACTTAGAACCTACACTTATCACATTGGTTATTAACTAAGAAATTTATAATATTAGTCTTTGTGAGAAAAAATACATACATCTTTTCGAACGAATATTTTTTAATTCTATAATCATCTGAAATAAAGCCTTTTGTTTTTATCAGGTAACTGTCGATTATGCTTTCGATTCATCTCAGATTAATAATAATTGCACTTTATTTTTTGATTTTATACACAAAAAAATGTATTGCGTTGACTCTAAACAACAAAAAATATAACTATAGCCTTGAAATAATCATAAATATTATGTCAGTTGACAATAATTAAAAATAAACTAGAATATACGAGGTAAAAATTAGAATAAAACATAACTAAAACTGAGAAATATAGAATGGGACAATGACTGGCAAGAAGAATAAAACTGACAATGGTATTTTCAGTACTAAAAACCTTCATCTTCAATAATAATAATTGATCAGACTTTAGTTAGAGATTTTTCTCCTTGTTCGAAATGTTTTTTATCACACTAAAAACTATTAAAATTTTAATCAATACAAAAAAATAAATCTAGAAACAGTATTTTAAAAAAATATATACAGGGTGTAAACAAGGATTTAAAAAGACGTCATGGTAGGCGGAGAAAATAATGTCAGTTCGGGATGTACTAGGTTTATCGTAGTTTTTTCACAGTTGTAATTCAAGTAATTGGGAAAAATATAATTTTTAAAATTTTAGTAGTTTTAACATTTTTAAGAACTTTAAATAAAACAAGAATTTCAGTGATATGCTGAGGGAATCATTAAAAAATTGATCATATTATTTTTTTTTGTTTATTTTGACGCTATTGATAACAGCTGATAAAAACACTCAAATGTGTTAAATGTTTTGCCAACCAAATGAGCAAATCCAGGATAGCCAACAATTTGGGTTGACACTTTGTGCATACAAAAGCGGAAACGGCAATGTTATTTCAAAACCTACTGGTTTTTAGAAAAATTAAACGTAAAACCTATTATTTTCTTCCTTACACCCTGTAATTAGGATAAAAATTCTCTACAAATACTGTCCATTTTTATTAGATCTATTTTTATCTATGCTAAAAATCTTTTAACTGATACAAAGGTTTTTGAGATAAATTTAAAAAAAAAACATGGAAGGTAAGGATAAAAAAGTAAATAGCAACATGCCCTTTTTAAAAGGTAACTAGGTAACAGTAACTTAAGTAAATCTAGATTAATGTCCAGCACCAGCACGAGTTCAATGGATTGAAAGATATATTATTTGATTTTGCTACCAACAAGATATTTTATTAAGAAAATTACAAATTATAATGACCTAATTTTCATGAGATTTGAAGAAGAAAAAAAGTGAGGTAAATTTATAATTGTAAAACAAAATTAATATAGGTAACTTATTTGTAATTGAATTTAATGAATTTTCAAAATATTCATATCAATTTTCAAATGCTTAAAACGCTAGGATTTTATTAACGGTAACTAAATATCTATATTATGTAGCAAAACCAAACTTCCAACTTATAAATCGTTGAGTGAAAGGTCTAAAGAGAGTTCGACGCCATAAGGAAAAAATGTCCCATTTTACGGCCTCTGGAATACATTGTTCTATATCCCAGAAAATCATATACATACAACGGAATATACTGCAGGTACCGCATGAATTCTTGTCCCGATACTAAAGGACAGATATAGAATATAAATGCATTTACCACATAAGTCTATGATTAGGTTGTCAGAGGTTTTCTGCGCTTGCACGATGCTGTGAGCACTTTCATTGGACAGTTCCAAATCATATGTTTACAAATGAAGTTAAAGACGTTCAAATAAAACCAGAGATATAGAGAGTATAACCACTTTAGCATTTCGGCGCAAGCGCACTATCTCCATTTCCTAAACAAGGACGAACTTTATATGTTTTTCACAATATGTGCCATCTCTCATAGGGAGATTCCTCACGTACAAAACATTTATTTTTTATATCGACATGGGTCCGATTCTGCTTTGTTTCGTAGCTACAAGGGTTGAGTCTTCTTTTTTTTCAATTTATTATAATTTACTTCCAAGCGCCTATAGCGATTCGAATGACATTTTGAGGGTGAAGGTTACTTTATATATTACATAATTTAATGCTAATAAAGCGTCGAGAAGATGCAACAGGGATGTGCATTCGATCTCATCAAGGAGATCGAAATCGACAAAATATCAAGAGAACTTTTAATCGGCATTAAACGGCCTATACGAGATGTGCTAAAAGAGAGAAAAGTCAGTGGCACACAGTTTGTTTTTTAATAAAAAAATATTCCAGTAATAACCCCTTTGGACGTCTCTGGTGAACCTGTTGACACTTTAGCATCAGTTATAGTAGCCTTATTGACTACATGAAAAAAGTAAATAAATTCCAGTCAGTGTGTAGAACTATCGCAAAAACTTTTATAAACAAAGCACGGCTAGAAACGCAAGTAAGACTATACAGGGTGACAATTTGAAAACGAACAGTATTTAATATTACCTCTACCGATGATAGTATGAAAATTTGGCGAAACACGTCAATTTACATATCAATGGGGGACAATTTTTGAGGCATTTGTTGTCGTGTTACTTTCAACCCCTTGACCCCCAGGGCACCTACCCCTAAAATTTTAAATAGCAACCTCTATTTCTTTTACCATTTTTGTGTTTCTTATAGAATTCTACATAAACTGCATTATTTTTTTGAGAATTTTATAAGGAACACAAAAATTGTAAAAGATATAGGGGTTGCCATTTAAAATTTTAGGGCTAGGTGCCCTGGGGTCAAAGGGTTGAAAGTAACACGACAACAAATGCCTCAAAAATCGTCCCCCTTGATATGTAAATTGACGTATTTCGCCAAATTTTCATACTATCATCGGTAGAGGTAATATTAAATACTGTTCGTTTTCAAATTGTCACCTTGTATAATACATTAGCGGTACCGATAGTATAGTCTATAAAATGAATAACTTTGAATTTTGACCGTTATTTTTTACCAACATGGCAAATATATAATCCCTCTATCCAAAAAGTTACTGATATTCTTTAAAATGAGTGCCTGAACGAATCAGATAGGTAACTCTTTTTATTTTCGTGAAATAGAAAAGGAAAATAATAAAACAAGTGACAGTTCTTCCTATTCTTGCAAAAATCAACGCGAAATGTCATAATTGACAAAAGTAAAATGTCATCAGCCTTTGACATTTCTAAATATCAGACCAATGCCGTCTCTAATAGAACAGTCTCGGGACGAGATTTATGACGTCACGCTAGTTAGATACCACGGATTAATAAATATGTTGTAGAATACATGGAAAACATAATTATTCCTTGTATTTTTGGTTTGTATTTTAAAAATGATATAGTTTACATGAAATATACATAATATACAGTTAATAAATACAATATATATACCGATTTATAGTAATAAATACTTTGGCAAATAAACTATGAACCATACAAATGCAGCAAATGTTTTATAATATACAAATAATGAATAGGTACATAAGATAATGGGTAAAATGTAAAATATATTTTAAATTTTGGGGTTTGAAAATCGATCTAATTTAACATGAAAAGCGATGGCTATGAAATAAAGATCGCTGTCATTTTATATGTAAAATTATTCTAAAATTTTTGATTTTCTTGGGATTTAGGTTCGGGAAAAACGCTGATTAAGTTTTCATTTGGTTTTTCATTATTTTTTTTGGTCATCAGTGTTGTGTCATATGATAAAAATAGTGTCGAATATAATCCAAAAAATTACATATAAATATATATGTAATTTTGAATAATTATATTTTCCATGTATTCTACAACATAATTAATCCGTAGTATCTAACTAGCGTGACGTCATAAAACTCGCTCCGAGGCTGTTCTATTAGAGACGGCATTGCATCAGCATGGCCGCAAGCTGCTAACCTAATAGAATTTACACTAGAAAAGCCCGCAGGAACAGTCAAATTCAAAGTTATTCGTTTCACAGAATTGAAAACCCTTTTGGACGTCTCTGGTGAACCTGTTGACACTTTAGCATCAGTTATAGTAGCCTTAATGACTACATGAAAAAAATAAATAAATTCCAGTCAGTGTGTGGAACTATCGCAAAAACTTTTATACACAAAACCTCTATTTCTTTCACCATATTTGTGTTTCTTATAGAATTCTACGTAAACTGCATTATTTTTTATTCGTTTCACAGACTACATTATTTGGAAGTGAAGCCTAGACTACCCCAAAAGTTAAAAATCAAAGACTCAACAACGGAGATGACAGTCTTAGGAAAAATAAAAGGAATAAGTAGAGAAGATAAAATAAGAAATGACACAGTAAGAAATGAACTAAAAATAAAACCATTAGAAGAAAAAGTAAGAGTATATAAAAACAAATATAAGCAACATGTTGAAAGAATGACAGATGATAGAATTCCACAAAAATGCTACGATATCAACCTCCAGGAAGGAGAAGTCTTGGACGACAATACAGAGATGGTGAAGGGGAACAGGTTTTTAAACCTAAACCGAAGAAGGATACGACGACGACGATTTAAAAGTCCCTCAAAATATTTTTTTTTATTTTGAGGGACTTTTTTATCCTCAAAATTTCATTCGAATCGGTAGACACTTAGCAAATTATAATAAATTGAAAAAAAAAGACTTTAATCCCCGGTAGCTACGAAAAAAAGCAGAATCGGAATGTTGGTATAACGATTGTTAATAGTAAGGTTAGGATTAATACTCGAAATATGAACCAACTTTAAAAAGTGTTTTGGTTTATAAAAATATATTATCCTAATTTTCAATTTCCCACCCTTAAATGGTCTCAAAATGACGGTAATTGCGGTATTCTATATTATCTCGGGACTTTAAGCCCACGGCCACACAGAAAGCGTTTTTAGCGTTTTTTGCGTCTCAAGCGTTTTTTTGCGATTTTCCCGTTTTAAGCGCTTTTTTAGATTGGTGTCCATTAAAAACACGCAAAAGACGCGGCAGGCCTGCAGTTTCTATCAAGATGTCAATTAGTAACGTCACAAGCTCGTGGATTCCCGGCCCGTCCAACAATCAATCCTGTGAGAGAGAGATAGGCGAGATCGGCGCCGTTAGCGTTGAAAAGACGAGGATAAAAGATTGCTGGGATTGAATTGTGGACGGGCCGGGGCATATATTCGGAGACAAACACTATCTACTGCTAGTGCCAGTGGTGTGTGTAAAAATAATAATTATTATTTGCCATTTATTTTACGAATTTTAGTTTATATGTGTATAGTTTTTTATGTTGTAGTGTTGTGATTAGTACTTATAATTATAATATTATAATATAATAAATAATTATAATTATATAATAGAATAGTAAATATTTCTAGTTGCTAATGCAATTTTAGGACATGATTTAAGAAACATTTTGGAGTGAAACTTCTTTACGCGCGCTGGGAGTAAAAATTCAAGGCCGTGACATACGACCTAGTGAGACGGCCCTGACACACGAGCCCGTTGTAACGAAACGTGTTAACGGCTTAGAAATACGTAGTGACGTGACGTGTATTTGTGAGCAGTCCACGTGTTTATAAGAAATATTGGTATTTTAATACAAATTTTGTAAAAGTGAATCAAATTATTACGTGTAAAAAAATATTTGTTACACGTAAAAAACTATTTTTATTATTTTACGCGAATAAAACTGTTACACGTCAAAAACTATTTTTTATGCGTATAAAACTATTTGTTACTGGTAGAAAACTATTTTTTACGCGTATAAAACTATTCGTTACGTGTAAAAATCTATTTGTTACACGTAAAAAACTAATTTTTACGCGTCAAAAACTTATTGATTCTGGTAGAAAACATTTCTTACACAAAAAAAAAATATTTTTTACGTGTAAAAAACTATTTGTTACACGTAAAAAACTAATTTTTACGCGTCAAAAACTTATTGTTTCTGGTAAAGAAACTTTTTTACCCAAAAAAAATATTTTTTACGTGTAAAAAAACTATTTGTAACACGTAAAAAAAATATTTTTTACACGTCAAAAACTATTTTTTTCTGTTAAAAAAACCTTTTTGACGCAGAAAAAAACATTTTTTACGTATAATAAAACTATTTTTGACGCGTAAGAAAATATTCCTTTAATTTAGTACTTTTTCAACATTTCAAACTACACTTTTTCAGCCATTTCCTTCAAATTTTTGAATTTAATAAAATAAAATACCCTAAAATGAAAAAAATGCATACTATTTAATTTATTTTTATTGTATTATTAAATATAACGTCCGCCTATGACGGGGTCTCATCTTAGAAAACGCTAAAGACGCTACAGAAAACAACCTGATTTGTTTTCATTTGCGTTTTTTGCGAGACACGCCGAACGCTACACGCTTTTGGTGTGGCCACTCCTATATAATCCTGTTGTTTTAGTCGCTAAAGACGCTTCACGCTAAAAACCCAAAAAAGGGTTTCTGTGTGGCCGTGGGCTAACACGCGTTAAAGTTATTAGTTATTATTTAATGTAAAAAACAAGGCAACAAAAAAGAATAAGGGGTAGGGCGCGAGCCATCTTTAAACCCATTTCAATCAATGCTTAAATACCTAGCCAGGCGTGCCATCATGACGTGCCGTACTTGCCGTTCTCGAACACGCCCTTCCTGAAGAAGGGCGAGAAGCTGGTGAGGGCCTGTTTGGTGATGGGGCCGCCGTACGCCAGGGGGCAGGACGGATGCGCCCTGCACGTTTCGATCAGTCTGCGCAGGTAGGTTTCCAGCTGGCGCTTGCGCGTCTGGGCGACGGCTTCCGTGTTGGCGAACAGGGTCTTGGAGGGAAAAGGGATTTTCGACACCTAAATAAAATGCGTTTAGTAGATAAAATACAAAGCATAGTCTTTGAGGCGTTTTTTTTCGATGGTACATACACACACCGGAAAAGTCTAGGGATATTACAATTTTATCCAGCCATCGTCAGTAATTTTATTATTTGCATTTCTGATATAATAAAATTAAAATAAACAAATAGTTTACAGGACGTATTGGAAATAAAAATGCTAAATTTACCGATTGATTTTTATTGAACTCAAAAAATACACACATTTTTTTTTATTCTAAACTGTGAATTAAAAAAAAAGATAAAACCATTTTTACTTAATAAAGGGTATGGCCCCCTCTTCTGTTCATTACAGCCCTACATCGGCTCTCCATGCTCCTGATCAGGTTGTCGATCTCTTCTTGAGGTATAGCCTGCCATGCTGCATTCACGGCCCGAACCAGATCCCTACGAGTTTCACGAGGCATACCCATTCTCAAAATTCTTGTTTGGACCGCGTCCCATACATGCTCGATGGGGTTGAGGTCAGGAGATTGTGCCGGCCAGGGTAAGATGTTTAATTGATGAGCATTGATAAACTCACTTACCACTCTGGCTGTATGAGGCCGTGCATTGTCATGCATGAGAATGAAGTTTCTCCTAAAATCATTGGCATATGGTAACACGACAGGCTCAAGAATTAAATCACGATATGTGATTCCTGTTAGAAACCTTTCAAGAACAACGAGATCGGTTTTTCGGCCTAACTGGACTCCTCCCCAGACCATAACTGTTCCACCTTGATAAGGGTGCACTTCCTGAACATGATCCAACCGAATAAGATTTCCCGGTTCTCTCTATACCCTAAGCCTTCTCGAATCCGGATGAATTCGTGAAGAGAACATTGGCCCATTGTTCATTCGACCACTGAGCATGATCTTGAGCCCACAAATATCGAACCTCTCGATTTCCTCTCGTTAAGGGTTGAGCTCTCCAGGGGGCGTCTGCTTATTAAGTTGACCTCTCTTAATCTATTGCGAACAGTGTCAGGACTAACGGTTACATTATGTGTTTCCTGGAGAATTAAACTAAGCTCTGGTGCTGTAAGAGGCGGTCGGCGTCGAGCATTTAATTGTAAAAAATGATCCTGCTGAGGGGTAGTAATGCGATGTCGCCCTGTGTGCCTTTCAGCAACATCACCACTTTCACGGTAGCGTGCACTTAATCGCGATATTACACTTTGCGTCGTATTTAATGCTCTAGCTACGTCGATTTGGCGCATTCCAGCTTTGAGCATACCCATGACCCTCAGCATTTCGTCTCTGTTAAGATGTCTACGCTCCATAATGTCGTTTAATACTAAACAGAGTTATTTGAATGAATTCTGGCCAGTTATCATAAAAACATAGCCAGTACAGGTTAAATTCGAACAATTGATGCTAGGTGCTTTTTATACATTTGACAAAAAATGCACAAACACTTCTGTAAATGTCCCAAATTTAGAAATAACTAGTGTGACTACTTCGTTTCAATCGAAGTAGAAAGAATCGGCCTACAAATATGTGGTTGTTTATCCAAAACATTTATTTTTAACTTTAATAAAATGATATCCCTAGATTTTTCCGGTGTGTGTATTTTAGAAACTATCTATATTAACTTATTTCTATGTGAATTACGCTTTACCTGGTCCTTATAACGAGCTTTCATCGCTATATGTAAGTCCCTAAATCTACTGTATCTTCTCAAAATCGACCATCGTTCGTCGACTGTACAAATTCGAACGTCGTATTCGTAGTGAGTCTTGGTGCCGGCTCCTCTCAAACAATAACTGGTAATACTGATTACTGAGTCACAATCGGTATCTACGATTAATAACCATATATAAAATAAAAGTAGAAAAACTCATGTCAGTATTATTTGAAACAATCTTCATTCGTTATATTTTCAGCAACATTTTCTTTTCTTAATTTTTTCAGAAACATACAGGGTGAGTTAAATAAGTCCAAATATTTTCAGGGCTGGTAGATCTCGATAAAAGAAACATATTTTCTCTTTGCCGTTTCAAATAAGTCCAAAATTACCGAGTTATTCAAGTTTAATTATTTTTAGAAAATTGATTTATTTTTCAAAAATTTGAGTGCCACAGGATTTTTTCTGTATTTGCATCCCTTGTAGTGCTGTAACCATGGTAATATCAGAGATTAATAAATTATTATTATATTTCTTTTTCTTGGTATGTTCTTTGCTACTGACCTTTCTCTTGTATCGATTTTTTCTATCGTATCGACCGTTTAATGTCATTTAAAGGTTGTATCTTGATATTTTGTGGATTTCGATGTCCTTGATATTATGTATGCGCTTAATATTACAGTTGGGGCATAGACAAATGAAACAAGTTTAGATTGGAAAGTGCCCATAAGGACAATGTAAACACTATTTGGCGCTATTCTTAAAACGGTCGCTCTCCAAAGCTTTTGATAATTTCGGATCGGCTCGGCTTTTTCCGGAATTATGTCGCCAAATATTATTTGGTTTATTTATGCTGATTTATTATTTTCTTTTAATTTTATAAATAAACTACAGGGTGCTAACTGTATACAAGAAACTTTATTTTATATACAGTACCGACCAAAAGTGGAGAAACTTTTAATATTTTTACTATGTCAAAATACAGTTTACTCTCTGCAGAATAGGATATTAAGAAAATATTTCGCATTTAAGCTGCTTTGTATAGCCATATAAAAACTGCTTATTTTGTCAATAAATTTGCAGGCAAAAAATTATTTACAAATTCCAGCGGACATAAGTGGAGAAACCTTATCTTCTTCTTAACATTCTGTGAGATATTTTCTTGTTAAAGCGTCTAGATCGTGGTATTGGGTTCACAGAGCGTTAAAAATATGCCGCGCGGGATAAATTTGACAGATCAAATAAAAAAAATCATAATTGAGAAGTATCATTCAAGAATTAAACAAATTGATATTGCTAGTCACTTCAATTTACATAAAAGTGTTGTGTTCAAACAGATTAATTTGTATAGAAATCGTGGGACAACTGCCAGTATACCCAAGCCCGGAAGACCAAAAAATAAACAACTTTGGCGACAGAGAAAATAATAAGAAGATATTCACTTAGAAATCCATTTTGCACTGCGGAGGATATAAGGAACGAATATCCCTTTATTTCAATATCTGTTAGGTCCATTAGACGGCGTCTGAAACAGGCACAACTAAATGCCAGAACACCTGCCGGAAAGCCGTTTATTTCTAAGAAAAATAGGCAGGCCCGACTACAATTTGCATTGGAACATGCAAATTGGACCTACAAGCAGTGGAAAAATGTACTCTGGTCAGACGAAAGCAAGTACAATCTAGTCTAGAGTTATTTTTCTGGGCATGGGGTCGGGCCCCTTGTTCAAATAAATAGAATTATGGATCGTTATATGTATTTAAATATTTTGCAAGAAACAATGGTACCTTATGCTGAATCCTCTCTCTCATTAACCTGGAAATTTATGCACCATAATGATCCGAAACACACTGCCAAACTTATTAAGGAATTTTTAACCGAGGAACAAGTTGAAATGATCAAATGGCCAGCTCAAAGCCCCGACCTGAACCCTATAGAGAACCTATGGGATCAACTAGAAGTCGATGTTAGGCGTAAAAACAGGGACACATTTAAAAATAATGATGTTTTGTTCGCTGCCCTATTACAAGCCTGGAATGAAATATTCGGGGACGCAATAAAGAACTTGATTGAGTCTATGCCCAAAAGGTGCCAAGCAGTCATCAAAAGTAAAGGCTATGCAACCAAATACTGAGACTAACGACTACAAATGTATAAAAAATACCAGTTTCTCCATTTTTGTCCTCATAGAAATAATTTTTTCAAAATTTAATAGAGGATTTTTCCAAAAAAAAATCTTGTGTGTATTTTTATGAGACAGTTATCCTATGTATAAATATATATGCTTTATAAACATTTTCGTTCTTGTAAAACGGCAGCAAATAAATTTAAAAAGTTTCTCCACTTTTGGCCGGTACTGTAAGTACATGTATGTGAAATACCTATGAAACATTGGAAACCGACGTTATGCCACGATCCACGATGGTTTTTGCAGCTTACAGTTCACAACATAGTTTTTAATACCACTTTTTCACAATTATCACGGGTCTGAGTAAGTAAAATTTAAATTAAACTCACAAAATAGCAATAATTACTTTGAGAATGGACGCTTTAAACACTTTTCGGTATTTTTTCAATGAGAGCGGTTTAAATTTTAAAAGATTTTATAATTTTTGAAGATTCTGACTTTGACAAGAGAAAATAATTTCTGTTATTGTCTGCGGTTGGTCTTAGCAACCGCTATAGCAGCGCCAGATCGCGTACAACGGTCGCGACCCAAAACAATTATATATTTTGACGGGCTTTCCAATATAAATGTATTTCCTTTGTCTATGATCATACCGCGGAAAAATGTGCCATCAACAGACAGTTCTAAAGTTTTCTAAAATATACAGAAAAATTTAAAAGAAAATGTACGATTTTCAACATATTTTTGGCGAAAAAAAACTCAGATGTGTTCCTGGGATCGAAATATTTGCACTTATTTAAGACCTTGTATAATAAGAAAATATAATCTATAATATAAACTTACCAGTTGTTATGGAAGGCATCGATCTATACATTACTTGATTATATAATAACGGTAACCTATTATTTCTTATCTGAAATGAAGAAACTATAAGTTTACATAATATAAAAAAATAAACACAATCTTACTTGTAAGGAAGACGAATATAAAGCACTTGTTGAACCTGTATGTAAAGGCTTAATTGGACTGGGACTATCGACATCCTGTAGTGGATGTTCGGTTGCTGGTGACAGTGCTGAAGAGGACCCGTATTTTAACGCCATATACTGTCGCTGTAGTTGTTGAAGAGCCTAGAGAAAAAAACATAATAGTTTTCAAACAAAACACTATATTTTGTCACAAAAATGTTTTGCAATACTATCTAATCATAATACTAATAATAACTGATAAGATATTGATATTAGTGTCAGATAACACCATTTAATTTATATGAATAATTAATAAAAGATGTTTACGGTTATTTGGCCATCCAGATGCTCTTTGGGCACTTGGTTGTCCAAATTCCTCAAAATGAACTGCTTTTGCTGCGATATAGTTTGAGCTAATTTACGCAACGTTTCGGCATCCCTTCTTCGATTTTTTCTATTAATTGGAGAATGGTTTTCCACAGAGCTGGTAGTCGATTGGGAGTCGCTTATCATCCCCTAAAGGAAAATATAAGACAAATATCATACAAGTTGTACCGAAAAAAAATTGCAACAAACAGAAAAATGTTTTGTTAAGTGTATAAAACCGTATAATTCTTTTATAGGAAGCAATCCAAAACGATTGAAATAATTGGCTAGTACGATTTTATTTATTTATTTTTTTTTAAAACGTTAAATGCCGAACGTTTATTTTGCTACTTTTTCGAACTAGTAAATTGGACTCTTAACGCATGAATATACTTGCTACATGTGTACCGCATATATTTTCCTGTGCCGTTTCTTTTCTCTCCTCTAAAATTAGGAATAATGGAGTTTGCAGTTTATCACATTTCACTGACAATATGCCAACTTTTTATGGTTAGGACCAATGACATCGAATCTATCATACTGATTGTTATTAGGATTTTTAGTTTGTTAAAGATGATTTTTTAAGTGTAAAATCAAAATAGATTTATATAATGATTGAAAAAAAGTTAAGGGAAGAGTACGTTGGATATTACATACTAAATACCGAATGATCGAAAAAAAAACGGTATAGAAGACTGCTGGTAATAACAATCGAATATAATTTTGGCGAGGTCTATTTCTAGATGTCATTTATTAAAAATTGACATAAAGCTTGTCAAAAACTAATACTAATTATAGAAAAATTATAAAAGGATAGAACGTTTCCAGAAACACAAACCGATATCCAAAAAAAAAATTTCGAATTTATACTACACCATTTAAAAATCAAATACAACCTTAAGGCCTACTACTGCCAGTAAGTGCCATTAAAAAATAAACAAGAGTAGGGGTCATGACATATCACCTCGCCAAAATTATCACTGATTGTCATTTTTTACGCCGTTTCTTTTTTCGATGGTATAATGTTTGTGGTAATAGAGCAATGTATTTTTTGTTTTGTTTATTAATGCTATAAAAAATTATATAGTTTAAAAGATGAATGCATCTTTGTTTGATATGTTTTATAAAGCATTACTTATTTTTTGTTTGGTAATTTCTAATGAAAAGTTAATTATTTATTCAGTACAAGGTCCCGATTATCCGCGAAGAAACTGTTCCAGAAATAAGTAAATATTTTAGAAATTTTCTTTTGTTTAACAAAGATCTTTATTATTGTTGCTATATAGTAATATTTTTATACCTAATATAAAATTGTAATTAGTCACGACAGTTTTAAAATATTCTCATTTTCCACCGTTGCTTCAAGCAAAATAATAACCATTAATTCACATAAATGTTTTATAAAAGTCGTCGTCGGCTCGTATTCATTGAATGCTTGATGGATTATATTACTACTGGAGCAATTTACAGACTTTATACTATGGAAATGTGCATATCATAATATTTCAATTAGTTATTTTCAATTTATTGGAGTACAGAAGTAGTCATTTTCAAAATTTGAAGAGCCATCGAGCACAACAATATATCGTATCCAAAAATCATACCGTATGATCGAATAAAAACGGCGTCAACGATGGCTACGAAATGAAGATCGCTGTCATTTTATATGTAAAATTATATGGGAAATATCATCGATCGTCATTTCCAAGCCAGCTGGACGCCGCTTTTTTTCCCGGTATTTACGCGGATATAATATTAAATTATATATTACAATCAAAGTAACTACGCCCATGACACACTTTCTGAAGATCTCTGAACAGCGTTGCCATTCTCACGGGAATCCTTCATGACTGCGATCAGCCCGTCTTGTTCCCACTCGCATAGAGCAAAAACGAATGTCTGATTCTGATCTTTTCCTTTTTATGAATGAAATGCCGGGTCTACTTTATTTAGAGGTCATTGGTTAGGACTAATACTGGAACCTTTGAATAAGAAGACTAAGGAAGGAGCATAATGCTATCCATGTATTCATGCATGGTGGGCGGAAAAAGCTCTCTAGGGTGGGGATCCTTGACAGTTCTGTTTGACGATTCATTTGACATATTTGAATTTGATTTGAAATTTTGTGGATTTGTCAGTCTTTACGGAGCTTATTTTATGTTATTTATTATTTATTCTACTACTGATAGTTGTATAAAGGTAGTAAATCTAGATGGAAATTGTATCAGAACTTAAATTAACAGTGACATTATCGCGATTTATCGAAAAAGACTCTAAAATGAGTTGGTTGTGTAGCGTGCGGTAGATCTCGGCAAAAATTGAGTGAAATAATGGAACAACTTTTCGCTAGTAAGTGACTATATAATATACATACGTGCAGTAAACCGATCATTTATGAAATTCGCTTAAATTAACTAAATTATATATTTTCTTGCATTTTAGCTTTTATTTACTACTTGTCAAAGATCAGATGTCAAAGAATTTTTGATACGTTAATTTGACTTACCTGCTTCAGTAGCGTATCGGATGTTTGTGTTAATAAATACTTATTATAACTTATCTATTTTTATTAGAATTATATATTTTTATAACAATTTTAATAACTACCAACATTTATTCACAACGTAAAATAAAATAACACATTATTGAGTCTACCCCACGTCTACCCTACATCATAGTTTTAAATTTTTTAAATAAAATTAGAACGGCACTGATAAACCGGAATTTAAGTCGGCCATATTTGAGGCCCATCGGGGTGTACCTAAGATTTTTGATATGCTCCTTCCTTAGTCTTCTTATTCAAAGACTGGCACCAACCATAAGAACAAAAAAAAATGAAAAAAAAAACTTCTAAAAGATAAAATATAGTATAAGCAACTTTTTTTACCTCGTTACTAGACAAATCGTCGCTAAAGTTTTCTTCGTGATGATTCCTGATCGAGGAAGGCATCAGTTCCACACCGCTGTCGCTCATCAATTGATCGATAGATGGCGCTACTCCCAGCTTTCCGTTTTCCACGGGAGAACCGCAACTGTTGGGCGCCGTATGGTAGGTGTCGCTGCTCAACGTCGCCGAAGACTGCACCTCGCCCGAAGTAGGCGGATTTGCGACGGTCGAATCAACTGAATTTATTCGTTTTAAATTCAAAGTTAACCTATTAAAAAAACAGTCCTAGTTACAAGGATCGACCACCCAGATAAAAGAAAATTATAGTATTTATTATACAGGGTGTCCCAGAAATGAGTGCAAATATTTTAACTGGTAGTATAATTTTTCTTGACATTTTCCGGGAAATTTGAAAAAACTTTTTAGTGCTACTTGTTTATTCACCTGAGATTTCTCTACGGTGTATCTAAACCTTGCAGTGTTGCAACCTCCTATGTTATCCACATTCTACATAGTTCTACATTTATAAATTTATAGACATAATATATTTCTACTCAAAAAATTAGGAATGTTAAATTTAATCTTTTATCAGTGCTTATTGTTAATAATTATAGAAAAAAAAAACACATTAATTATTTTTAGTACTTACCCTTTCAATGAAACTTAACAAAAACCACCGAAAATTAACTAAAACATTACGTTTATGACGTTTACGAAAATCCTTGTTATGCTGCAAAATAGCTTTATTTTGGAATAAATTTAATAAAATGATTCATCATATTATTCACAATCAGGTCACAAAAAAGAAATTCATAAAATGTTTATCAACGATACAATGTTAAGCAACGTTGCCGTAGTTACAACAATTTCAAATTCAAGACATTCGAAGCAATCAAATTCGTATTAAATTTTAAAAATAAAACAGAGAAACATGAAAGGAAACAAACAAAACAAAAATGAATTGATTATTCGTCGGGCTGTTTTCGATATATTGAATTCTGAATTACGATAAACGTTTTAGAAATTTCTTTTTTGTGACCTTATCAATAATCAATTCATTTGTGTTTTGTTTGTTTTCTTTCATGTTTTTCGGTTTATTTTTCAAATTTAATAAGAATTTGATTGCTTCGAGTGTCTTGAATTTGAAATTCTTGAAACTACGGCAACCTCGCATGACGCAAGCTCGACACGGCGGCGCGACAAAGGAGCACTCAGGAGTTCAGGAGCAGTTACCAGTGATGCGCGGCTCTCTTAGCCGACGGTTGGGCTGTCGATGGAATTGTCGAAATACATCGAAAAAATAGCGAAAAAACAAAATACGTATTTAAAATTGTTGAGTGAAACATGTTTGCTCTTAGATTGAAAGTAGTTCGTAAAGTGGCGGCAAGAGACAATAATTCTCAACATTTATTCATTCAGAAATGTATTCAAAGTAATGTGTGCTTTTCAAGGTGTTTTGTAAATCAGTGGTTCAAATTGTGATGAAGCCTATATGAAAATAATGTGTTAAAAATGGGGACTGTTATTTTAGCAGTTATTTATAATAGCATGTACAAGTAAAGCAGCACAGTGAAGTGCATTTTAGTTAAGTGTGTATCGAAAAAGAGAACTGTCACAGTTACATCGATCTGTCTTAAGTATCTTTTTTAATGTTGGGTAAGTTTTTTAATTTAACTTTTTTAACTTTTAAACATTTAACTTTTAATTTATTTTATGTAATAATATCACTATCTTAAAAATGTAATGCATCTCTGCAAACTCCTCAGGTGTTGAGATTTTATGACTTACTTTTAAATATATACTTTCTTGTCCATATGGCAACACAGTGCGTCGAATTAACTGAAATCCGGGCTTGATCCGGGTAATTAGATGTAGTTGGCGATATCTGCCGGCGGTTCTCAAAATGTTGCGATTATTTTTTAAATTTTCAAAGTTAAATAACTTGGTTATTTTCAATTTATTTTAAAAATGGTAAAGAGAAAATATGTTTATTTTGACCAGATCTACCACCCCTTAAAATATCTGCACTCATTTCTGGGACACCCTGTATAACTTTCATCAGATTGAGGGATACAGAAAGTCGGCTGTTGTCGGATGGTAGTTCTTTCCTTTGGCCTGGTGAACTTAATGTTTGTGACTTAATTTAAAACTATAATATCGCCGTTATTATACATAAATATTTAACTTACCCTAGTTTCTTTTGTTCTATTTGTTTTAATTCTTCGCCTGTTCTTTTTGCCAGTTTCTCTTTAAGATCCTTCAGATCACTATCTTCAATTATAATGTTTGTTTCGTTACTTTCTTCCATTTTTAAATCCTCTTGTTCATTCACCAATCCTATTAGTTTTTGATCTAATATTTCGACACTCTTTTGTCGTTCACATAATGTCTGTACCCGTCTATTTAGTTCAGCTTGTAATTCAGCCAATTCTTTTCTCTAAATAATTAAATAAAAAAATTTTACTAAGTTTACTAAAGTGCTTATTCAATATGAAATTTAGCTATGTTACAGAAAAATATAAACTGAACTACACTTACATGTTGATTAACTAGTTTCTGAATAATATCTGGTGCTCTTATACTATTTAAAATGTCTACCAAAGAATCAGACTCTGCATCAGACAGAGGCGTGTTTTGTGATTTTGCCGCCAATTCCTAAAAAAATAGACACCATAACCATATCAATGTAATCTGTATACAGAATAATGTATACAGGGTATTTCAAAAAACGTGGCAATTCCTCGTGGGGAGATTTTTCACATAAAAATAAAATTTATTTTTTATATTAACATAGGTCCGATTCCGCTTTGTTTCTTAGCTACAGGGGGCTAATTTTTTTTCAGGGTTTTGAGAGCAAAAGTTACTATAAGTTACTACTATCACAGATTAAGTATACTATATGTATACAGATAAAAATCTTATCCCTAATTCGTGGTACGAAAATTGTTTTTTATGACGATGTGCAAACGAGTCAAATTTCCTGTGCGCAAAAATAAACTCGCGTAAAATAACAATAAACAGCGTAATAGAGAGATATCGCTAAACCGAATAGCGTGCATGGACGTTAATAAGGCCAGGTGTTATTTCCTTTACGTGAGGTGGTATTAACTCTCTTCATTTATAGTTATCGGATCGGAAAGAATTCTGTTGGCGTCGCGTCCGCTATTTAAACTTAATCTAACTTTGAATTTAAAGCTTTGAAATTGTTTTGTTTACTAGGTATTTTAAAACTAAAGGGCTAAAGTGCATATTTCCAGTGCTTTATTGTTCAACGTCTGCCAGTGGGTTTAGAGCAACAAGCAACAAATAATTCTCTTAGAAGGGCTAATTCGTCATCTGCTGTAAACCTAAAGCTTGTTTCATGTAGACGCGAATTGCGAATTGCGGAAAGCGATTCGCCAAAAAATATTCGCAAAATTTGGACCTATTTCATACAGTCGCGAATTTTTAGGGACATTTCATTTTTGCTCCACTGAAAGTTACCAAAAAAATCATAACCCGAGATAACTTAATTTGTTTTTTATTCGTGTTTACGACCTTTATTTTATATTTTATAGCATACAATATCTTACTTCGGGTTTCTCTTAGTACCGATTCTGAACCGTCCTAGAACTGTGATGCGTATGCGCAGAAGGAAATATGAAGACATTATTTCATTTGTGCATGCGCTGCAGAGTTCTAGGACGGTTCAGAATCGGTAATAACAAGAACCCGAACAAATCTAATATGACTTCAAATTTGTTTAATGATTATGAATATTGATTATGATTGTGGGATTGGAACAGAAGGCGTAAAATTGCCATTTACTTATTGTTAAAACGTAGAAGAGAACGGTCATTTGGGACATGTGAAATATTTAAATTTCGTAAGCAACAAGGGTGCGTATCGCAATTTAATTCAAGAAATGGGGACAAAAGATGAGAAAAAATTTAGGAATTTTCACAGATTGTCTGCACAGGAGTTTGATAACTTGGTTGAAAAATTGTCACCATATATATCAAAAACATATCATAAACATATGCACGAGAACCCATTTTACCTGGAGAAATCCTTTCAGTTACTTTGTACTTTGTCAGCGTCGTCAAAATAATCGATAACCGATCACAACACCATTTTGCGCAAACGCGAACCTTAAAATCGCGCGAATATTCGCAAAAAGTTGAAAACACTTTAACTTTCCCGCCCCCCAAATTTTAAATCTTGCGAATCGCCAAAATCTTAAAATTTCTGACAGCGCCGCCATGATCATTAAAATTGGACCAATGAGAGCAGTTTCGCAAAATCGCGATTCGCGATTCGCGTCTACATGAACAAGGCTTAAGTCTCTTTATAGGTTCTTTAATATTGGAAGAGGTGGAATCCATATTTTGGGCCATATTTATTTAATTAAAACTAATCCCAGCTACTTAAATATCAAATTACCTAATAAAACTAAAGTAATAATTCAAAACAATTCGAACATAACCTAAAATAAAAGATCTCGCCGGCCGGCCCCGGTTGTCAAATACCCGCACCTGCCCATTTAAGCAATTTTTAAACGTTATTTAGAAATAGCGCTTGATGTAATTGATCCGCAAATTACGTCAGACGGTAACGTTATTAGCGGGTGTTGCGTTAAAAATTGACTCGCGCCTTTACTCGCGTAAATACTGCATGACGCTATTCGGTTTTGCGATATCTCTCTAATAACTGTGCCGGTCAGGCGCTGTGCACAATTTTAGAGGCCATAAGTGGGCGTGCTATGTGCGCAAACTAGTCACCTAACTAGTGCCCGATTCCGAAAATTGGAACCACGAATAACAATAAAGAAAAAACAAAGATTATAATCTGTATAATCTGTGCTACTATACTACAGATTTTAATGCTAAATAAGTGTCGAGAGATTCACCAGGGATGTGCTTATAGGTTATCACTAGAATATTTTGCTAAAAAGAAACCTGTGCGCCACTGACTTTTACCTCTTGTTAGCACAGTTGGGTATACTCTATTTTTTTCTCAGGTAAGATTTCGACAGACGACGACAGAAGAAAAGCAGATGACGTCCCATACCAATCTATTTATTTTACTACTAAAAAAAGTTTCTAATAATTTTTAAGTTAACTATGGATGGGTTTAAATATAAATTCGTCATGCGTCGTCACTTGTTGTTTTTAACCAGTTTCATTGGTTTATTTCAAAAATGACAGATCGTATTTCAATTTTAGTGGTTTGACGGAACGATGAACGACAAACGGACGCCGATGCGTATGAACTCGCCTTTAGATTTTTGACGTTTGTCAAAGTCTTGCCAAATTATAGGTTATAATATTGTGACAACTTTTGTCAAATACCCTGCGTTTTGGAAGATGATGCATTTTGATTCGTGTTATTTCGTGTGTTTTGTGTCTTTTGAAGTCAAGTGGAGGAAAAATCGAGTGAAAATTAACTGTAGAACCCAGATCACAGTTTATGGTTAATACTCGCTGCCCAGGCAGAAAGTCTTATACAGATACACCAATAAAGTTACTATCAATAAAGTTCGTATACCATCTCGTCGTAGATAAGTGCATCTCGAATATGGTAGAAGGACCATACTAAACACATACTAAAAACTGGAGTAGTTGTAAAATATCGACATCACACGATAGGTAAATAATGGATTTTAGTACTGCAGAAAAATAATGTTAAAAGGTACTGGTTTAAAAAAAATTAAGATTAAAGCTAATTAATCAACCTGTGAGGTATAAAATTTGGTAAGTGTTATTCTTAATAAAGTAGTTTGTTTTATTTATGTTGTTTTATTTATTCCTGCGGAATATTACAAATTTGCATTTGTACATAAGTTATATTGATAAATATGATCAAAAATGCGGGAAGTTTCATAAAGCTTGAAAGTAAGAAATAGTTCTTTTTTATATTTTTTGGTATGTGGTGTCTTGTTTTTGTTTGTTTTGTATTAACACATACCGTTAAAATGATTATTAAATAAAATAACTCGATTACATTTTTTCAGTTTTATACAGTTTTTTTCACAATATTTTGAAGTTACTTGTCAGTGAAATTTTAAATACATATATTAATTTCCTGCTATGCATTCCAGTTGTACCAACTTATTTCTTTGTAAAACAAAATAAACTATAGTATTTTTAATACCTATTTAGAGGTACCAGCCGTTTTAGTAACTTAACGTATGCGGCTTCTTGCACCATCTACACCCGCATGAAAAAAATTAGGTTATGACCTTTGTCATGTCAAATGCTTGACATATTTCTTATTGCATTGGCGGAGTGACTTGAAATTTCATATTATCAGGGCGGTTTATAATAATAAAAATTAATTTTATGAAATTCTAAAGATGTTGACATAATAAAAAAATATAGAAGAAGCGCACTAATTTTAAAAATATTGTTTTATTAACTAGATACCGAGTTTTCTTAAAAAATACCTATATTATTTAAGATCTCGATTTAAGGCTTATACCAAAGAATATCTTAACTTATACTTATGCTTAATGTAGTAAACTATATTCAAAACGATTTAGGATCTCGATTTAAGGCAATTCAATAAGCGTCTGAAGCACTAAAAGTATAATAAATAATATAACAAGAAGTCGAGCAAGCAGTAATAATATTTATTTAAGGGCTCGTTTAAGTAAAAATTCTACAGAAAAACAGGTGTAAAGAGCTTTTCGCTTTTAGCAGCATAGTATTTGTTCAAAAATAATATTCTTTTTAATCTGATTCCAGACATTTCCAATAACTGTTTTCTTCCATCCCGTTTTTTGAAATGAAAACCCATTTTTTTAATTCCCAAATATAACGAACTTTTGGAAATCTTAGTTTCTGGAGACTCTTCGATAAATTGCAGGAAAATAGTTTCTACTGTGATTTTATCCTTTCGCGCATACATTTTGTAAATTACTTCCCTCAAACAATGTAGGGTATTCTTAGTAATTCGGATTTTGCTCCGGGAAACGCTTGCAGACATATTTCTTCTAAATTCGAAATCTGTAGCTCTGTTTGGTTTTTCTAGATTATATAATGTGCATTCTGGGACTTTTAGTGCTTCGGATGCTTTTTGAATTGCCTTAAATCGAGATCCTAAATCGTTTTGAAAATAGTTTACTACATTAAGCATAAGTTTTTTGGATTCATCAGAATATCGCATTTTTATATCTTATTTTGCGTTATGACATTAACATGAAACGTAACTTCAAAAACGTGACATCTAACAAATTATTAATAATCGACGTTCATTTTTGTTGGTAATTTTTTGTTTCAACTGATTTATTAATAATAAATAAGGATGGTGTTATTCTAAATGGGTATTAAAAATACTATACTTTGAAATTAAAATGACAGACACATCTATCACTGTCAAGGATCTTCTCGTTGGACAGACTATAGGTCGTTTAATATCAATTAAAAGTTGTTTTTTATAATTTTTTTCGATTTTGATCTCTTTCATCAGATAAAAGTAATTCTATTAATCTACCTTAAACCAAGTCTAATAGAAGGCCTACCTAACTTTTCTAATAGAAACCACCTAACTTTAATAAAATTTAATAATAAACTAGATTAAATAAATAGTTTTTTTAATTTAATTTTATTAATTGAGATTAATAAAATTGTGTTTATCTCATGAAGTAGAGTGAAATCGAGAAAATATCAAGATACAACTTTTAATCGGCATTAAACAACCTACACAATTTTGTTAATGAGAAAAAAGTCAGTGACGCACCTGTTTTGTTATAAAATTATTCCAGTGATGATGTGCTGGTCCCTGGTGAATTTGTCAACACTTTTCTAGCAGTAAACTATGTAGCACTTATAGTAACTTTTGCCCTCAAAATGTCAATCGAATCGCTAAAGACATTTGGAAAAAAAATATAATTAACCAAAAAAAAATTAACCCTCTATAGCTTAGAAACAAAGCAGAATCGGGCCTATGTTGATATAAAAAATAAACCTTATTTTTACGGCGAGTCTACCCACGGGAGATTACACATACTTTTTTGAGACACCCTGTATATAGATTTTATAAAAAAATTCAAAGCAAATACAAAAACAAACACTTTCTCTCATTAGTTATAGAATTATTTACCAGTAGCAATACTATAGTCTATAAAATGAATAACTTTGAATTTTGACCGTTATTTTTTAGCAACATGGCAAATATAAAATCCCTCTGTCAAAAAAGTTACTGATATTCTTTAAATTGAGTGCCTGAACGAATCAGATAGGTAACTCTTTTACTTTCGTGAAATAGAAAAGGAAAATAATAAAACAAGTGACAGTTCTTCCTCTTCTTGCAAAAATCAACACGAAATGTCATAATTGACAAAAGTAAAATGTCATCAGCTTTTGACATTTCTAAATATTAGACCAATGCCGTCTCTAATACAACAGCCACGGAGCGAGATTTATGACGTCACGCTACTTAGATACTACGGATTAATAAATATGTTGTAGAATACATGGAAAACATAATTATTCCTCGTATTTTTGGTTTGTATTTTAAAAATGATATAGTTTACATGAAATATACGTTATATACAGTTAATAAATACAATATAATATATACCTATTTATAGTAATAAATACTTTGGTAAATAAACTATGAACCATACAAATGCAGCAAATATTTTACAATATACAAATAATGAATAGGTGGTACATAAGATAATGGGTAAAATGTAAAATATATTTTAAATTTTGGGGTTTGAAAATCGATCTAATTTAACAAGAAACATTCAATATCTACTAATAGTGATGTGTAATGATGGTAGACTTTGATGGTATTATTATTTGCATTCACAAAATTTATTTATATATTATAATGTTTACTGCAATTAATAAACTAATATAAACTTGTCAAGATGAAAACATACTTTTTTAAATTATTATTCTTAACACAAAAACTATCAACATTGACTATGGAGTACTATTTCAGCCATATTGTAAAACATTTGCTGCATTAGTATGGTTCATAGTTTATCTGCCAAAGTATTTATTACTATAAATAGGTATATATATTATATTTATTAACTGTATATTATGTATATTTCATGTAAACTATATCATTTTTAAAATACAAACCAAAAATACGAGGAATAATTATGTTTTCCATGTATTCTACAACATATTTATTAATCCGTAGTATCTAACTAGCGTGACGTCATAAATCTCGCTCCGAGGCTGTTCTATTAGAGACGGCATTGCGTCAGCATGGTTGCAAGTTGCTAACCTAATAAAATTAACAGTAGAAAAGCCCGCGGGAACTGTCAAATTCAAAGTATTCGTTTTACAGACTATACAATATTAACTACAGATGAAACATAATATGTTAGAAAACCTGTAGACACTGTGCTTAAAAACTAGGGTTAAGTAAAATTATAAAGCAATTAAATCGAAAGGGGTTAGTGTGCAAAATAAATAAAAAAATAAAGATACCTGAAACAAAAGTTTGGATTGAGGATCAGGAAATGTGATTTCGTTGGCGCGTGATGCAACTAATCGGCAGATATTTGTAAATTTGGATAGGAAATCACAGCGCATTTCTTTTAGGGTATCACAGTCTCCATTTATCTAATAATTAGGAAATCAAAAAATTATATAATTCATTTCGTGAAATTGTTTCACCAAACAAACCGAACCCCCAATTTCACATAAAATAAAAATAAAAAAAAATTAAATAAATATTTCGTACCTCTCCTAAAAGCTTCAACCTTTCCTTTTCCAATTCTTGTCTTTGGAAAATCAAGTCGTTTTCTTTCCTTTTCAATTCCATTTCTCTTTCCCTTTGCTGTTGATTCAACGATATCCAGTCTTCGTGTAACTGCCTAGTCTAAAGTAGAAATACAATATGATCAAAAGGTGTTATGATCAAACAAGATCTGTATGATTATAGATAAAAAAATATGATAAATTCAAAAACAAGTCAAAATTTATGAAAAATAGGATACAACAAAATAAAAATATATTACCTGGTCAGCATGTTCCTTCTGCACAATCTTTTTCTCAATCTCTAATTTTGCTTGGGCTTCCTCTAAGTGTTTTTTCTTTTTCTCAAAGTCCTCTTTGCTTTTTTCAAACTGTTCTTGTTCTTTTTCTAGTAATTCTTTTTCTTTTTCCAAATGCTGCCTCTGTAGATCTATATCTACTCTGTCCTCATCAGCAACGCTAAACATTTTTTTTTATATAAATATATATCATTCAATTTCAATGTGGCTAATAATTTAGATAACAATTATTTAAAGTACACTTCTATCTTTGTGCCATAGACATGATTTTTATGATAATACAACAAAATGATTGTTAGTTTATGAAAATGTTACCTTACACTTACCCTCCTAAATTTTCCATTGAAATAGCCAAATCTGGTGTAGACCAACTGAGCAAACTCAATCTTGATAGATTATTGTAAGTTTTCTCGCCTTTCCTTAATTCTGCTGCTTCGGCAGGATCGTTGAATCTATAGTTAGATTAAATATTATTAACTCAAATAAAGTGGAATTTATAAAAAATCACTGTTACACGTTAAAATCTAAACCACGCAGTTTCGATGACCAGATCGGTATAATACATATTATATTGTATCTTTGTGGTTCTTACTGAAAAATAAAACACTAAATCACCAAAACACTTTTACTTTTATACTGGTCGCGCCTTTCGCTAATCATGTTAGCATCATCAGCAGATGATTAAGATTAATGTAAAAAGTACAATTTGACCGTTTATATACTCGCTCACTGGGTACCGAGTGGGCGTAGCAAGATCTAGCCAACCGAGCGTAAGAGTTAGATTTCCGTCACTAGAGTAGTAAGAACAAAGAACTTGAAGGAATTGGACCGTTGTCTCTGTTCATACTATCTTTATATATATTAATTCTGATGCTTTCATATGCATCTAATTGCCCTTAATTTGAGACTAATATAATTAATTTTAAATTATTAAGATCTATACAATGTTCTTTATCAACAATATGTTCAGCAACGCAAGATTTATCCGGTCTACCATATCTTATCTGAGCTAAATGTTCTTTAAATCTAGTTAATATTGATCTTCTAGTTTGCCCAACATGTTTCTGATTACAATCTTTACAAGAAATTTCACAAAAACCCGACCTTTCCAGTGGAGGTGTTTTATCCTTTGGATTACTTAATAATTGTTGTAATTTATTATTAGCACTATACACAAGTTTATAATTATTCACATTCTTAAAAATTCCTTTTAGATCACGGAATAACTCTCTATCAAACGGTATTGAAAAATATTTTGACATATTTTGACCTAACCCCAACTGTAATTTTTGTCTTACTCTTAATATACAGACCACAGATATAGACTGAGCAAGCCAGTATGTTAAACTTACCTAAACACGTGTGCCTTTCCTAAAAATATTATGCATCCTTGGGACAACTTGGCTGGAGATTCTAAAATTTGGCTGTTCAGCATCACGTGCGCCCCTGGTTTTGGAGTTAATATTGCGATGCTATTTTGAAAGGTTATGGTGCAATGTTCCGTCTCCATTCCAGATCCTAAATGAGATAAAATAAAGAACAAATAATCACAGTCTTTAATTTTTAAATTATTTCTTTTTACCTCTCAATTCTATGTCTTGTCTCACGCTTTCGTCTCCAGTACCGATTGTCGTAGTACCCTCCTACAAAGCGATAATTTATGATAGTGATAAATTTTTACAAACATTACAGTACGAGAGCTAGCAACGTCGGAAAAACAAATATTTTAAGACGTCTGGCTCTTACTATGCTCTCTAGAACAACATGCGTTCCCTATTGCGCATTGAAAGGAGATCCAATATTTTTATTAGTCCTTTAAATTCTAGTATTGAATATAAACCGACCGAGTCTCCATAGCTCAGCGCGTAGAGGCACAGATTAGGTATACTATATGTATACAGATAAAAATCTTATACCTAATTCGTACTACGAAAATTGTTTTTTATGACGATGTCCAAACGAGTAAAATTTCCTGTGCGCAAAAATAAACTCGCGTAAAATAACAATAAACAACGTAATAGAGAGATATCGCTAAACCGAATAGCGTGCATGGACGTTAATAAGGCTGTAGCATTTTTTATTTCCTTTAATAAAATTAAATTTAAAATTCTATTTTTATTTAAATTTCTTAGTATTGGCGCCATCTATTTGCTAGATGCCAAAGATACCAAACTCTATTTGTTACAGCTCACTTGTCTCGATATTTAGTTTTTATTAGCGCATCTATTCGCTATATGCCAAACTTCCTTAATTGCATTTCACTTGTCCAAATCTCACTTCGCTGTGGATTGCGATTTTCTGTTCTAATGATTTCGATCATATGATGTCACTTTTTGACGTAGAAGACGCGTGTTTCGGCGTCCGACAAATTTTCCAGTGAAAAGCACTCTGAATCCACTTTTCGATTTCCATTGCATGTGTATCCGATTTGGGAATTTGAAAACCTTGTAAAGTATGCAATCCAGAGTATAGATCGTATTTGTTTGGTTTCTTCTTGGAATGATCACCGTAAGTTTATCCGCCATTTTATATAGCCCTATCTAACTAAATTCTATTTCAGTTATTTCCGTTTTTTGTTTCGTTTATTTGGGTATTTAATTACTGGTTTGGATCGGCATATGGTTTGAATATTTTTATTGAGTATCTGTCCTGAGAACTATTTTTTATTTATAGAGTAACTACCACATGGTACTCAGTAATTACCACATGGTACTGAGTAATTACCACATGGTATGCAGTAATAATGCGGTAATTATTGTATGTTTCACCCACTTTCATTTTGTATGGACCTATGCAGACCTTAAGACAGTGTTCCTGACATTACAATCGTTCTTTTGGCTGATATCGAAGACTTATCCTGCCATAGTCATCTGCATCCACTTCTGTTAGTCTGGAGAATACCTCTCTCTCTCTCTCTTAAGTTTGATATACAAGGTACGCTTTTATTTTATAATTTTTGAGACAACAGATTTAATAACCTGGTAAATTATCACTATTTATCCCACATATTGTAGTCAAAATTATTTTTTATTTAACGTTATAAGTTATAATTTGATTCGTACAGTACGCTCTTACTTAGCTATGATATTTTATATGAAAATTATTAACACGTATTCATTTTAAAGGTTTTTGTACACGACATGTTTCGAAACATCATTGTATTGAGACATACATAAATTTCACCTGTTTTTATATTAAGTAGCTTACTTAGTTCAAAGAATACAGTTACTAAATTCGAATCTATTTAAAATAACTTGCGGTTTCATTGGGATCATTGTGACTAATTGATGATACTTGTGTTCGTTTTCAATAAATGTTTAATGTAGGATAGTTATTTCTGACTTTTATTCCTGATAAACATAATAGACCCTTAATGCTGTTGATTACTTTATTTTAGCTATGTTGTGATATCGTATTTTTCTTTTTGATTTCTTACTTTACCACTCTCATAAACAAAGTAAGTGGCGCCCTTTTCACTGTCTTTGACCATACCCATTTGAATTCTTAACATCAATATTAAAATCTCTGCAGCCTATATATTATCATTTTTTTATTTTAATATTTAACAACATTAGAAAGTCACTGTGAGTCAGAAGCCTTACCTACGAACCCAGCTTTCCTCTAACCCGGAGCAACGGATTCTTTTTTCATTCTATTCGGGTAACGACAGAAAAGTCGTCACAAGGCGCCAGGTGTTATTTCCTTTACGTGAGGTGGTATTAACTCTCTTCATTTATAGTTATCGGATCGGAAAGAATTCTGTTGGCGTCGCGTCCGCTATTTAAACTTAACCTAACTTTGAATTTAAAACTTTGAAATTGTTTTGTTTACTAGGTATTTTAAAACTAAAGGGCTAAAGTGCATATTTCCAGTGCTTTATTGTTCAACGTCTGCCAGTGGGTTTAAGGCAACGCATTCTATTAGAAGGGCTAAGTCGTCATCTGCTGTAAACCTAAGCCTCTTTATAGGTTCTTTAATATTGGAAGAGGTGGAATCCATATATTGGGCCATATTTATTTAATTAAAACTAATCCCAGCTACTTAAAATATCAAATTACCTAATAAAACTAAAGTAATAATTCAAAACAATTCAAACATAAAAGATTTCGCCACCTAAAATAAAAGATTTCGCCGGCCGCACAATGGAACGAGTTCATGTTAAATGTTGGACATGGGGCTAAAATTTTTTTTGGGAAAATGGAAAACTGAATATGGTAGTTTCAAAAACAAATATCAGTCCTCTCTTAAAAACTGATTTTTAGAAAACAAAAATGTATTTTGTCGTTTTTACAAAGGTTTAAAATTAACCGTTTTCAAAAATGCTAATTCATGTTGAAAATATTACCACAATTTGATTTTTTTATTGCCCAAGCTGCGGTAGGTTTTTTAAAAAATATAATTTTTTTAATTTAACTCGTTCTTTGTGAATGAATTTTTGGCAAAATTTTGTACATACATCTCATCAATCACCCACTATATATTTTTGAATTAAAAAGTTTTGAATTTTTATTATAGAGCTAATCATCAAGAAATATGAAGTAAGTGCCGCAAGGTACCATAAAAAGAATAGCGGCATATAGTAGACCAGTATACCCTTATTATAAACATATATAAAAAAGTTGCCCCAATTTGCCGTTTTTTGAAAAAAACAAAATTTGAACTATACGATGGATACTATTTCCAAGGGGCTTTTAAGTAATTTACATAGGTTGAACAAGTCTGGCTTTAAAAATATAATGTTATTCCGATATTATTATTAGGTACTATCCTAAATCGTATATTAGTAGATTATATCCAAATCATTGCACCCCCCCCCCTCCATTAGGATACATCTACGGTTTTTATTATTATAAGCAGAACTATTAAAAAAATAATTCTCAAATAGGACTTTTTAATGATAAATTAGTGTTCTATCACTTTACTATAGTTATTTTCCTAACAAATGCGTAAAGTGATACTTTCCCGCACGCCTTATTTGACATTTACCCTGACATTAACAAATAATGCTAGTCGTTCAAATAATTTTCAAATATGCAATAATTTAATATGGTTATCACTTGGCTGAAATATTCAAAAACGAAAAGAAAAACATGCTAAACCATTATTTTTTAACATTATTTTGTCCAGAAAACATTAACTTTATCTAAAACTGCGTTTATTAAAATACAAACTTAAAAGTACTGCATGACGCTATTCGGTTTTCCGATATCTCTCTAATAACTGTGCCGGTCAGACGCTGTGCACAATTTTAGAGGCCATAATAAGTGGGCGTGCTATGTGCGCAAACTAGTAACCTAACTAGTGCCCGATTCCGAAAATTGGAACCACGAAAAACAATAAAGAATAAAACAAAGTTTATAATCTGTATAATCTGTGGTAGAGGTTTCGCCTATCAAGCGAGGAGCCAGAGTTCAAATCCGGGCCAGGGCAAAAACTTTTTTATTTTATTTTTTTTTATATTCTGATAGTAAAGTATTAAATATTTGTTTTTCTGAATCACCATAATTATTTAATACTTTACTATCAACTAACCTAACCTAAACGAAAATAAAATAAAAAAATCTTTGTCCTGACCCGGATTCGAACTCTGAATCCTCGGATCGTAATCGGAAACTCTACGCACTGCGCTATGGGGACATGTTCGATTTATATTCAATATTAGAATTTATAGGACTAAATTAAAAAACATATAGGATCTTTTTCCGACGCGCAGTAATGAACGCAACGGGTATCGGCAGCCAGACGGGCCGCATGCTGTTCCAGAGAGCATAGTAAAAGATATATCAAAGAGCCAGACATCTTAAAATACTTTCTCAAAAACGTTGCTAGCTCTTAGACTATTAATTCACAGTATCTACCTTTAAGTGATATAAAGTGACTCCTGTGCTCAAGGGATCATCATCTATAGCGACCAAATGCGGCCTGTCCGAATCTAAGACTACGCCTGCGCCAGATTTTCTCAGACCCAAAGCGGTTTGTTCCCTCAAAATGGCTTGAGCCTCCCGCCATTTTCCCGTCCACTCCTCGGTCAATTCCTTAAAAAATAGATACATGAGACAGTTAAGACAAGGTTCCAAATGAATACGCATCTACTAAGACGTTTCATTTCTGTATTTACGTTTGTCTAAATTGATTATTATTGACTTTTGAGGTACGGCAACCCATATACTACTATCTAACTTAACCTAATATATACAGTGTGGTCGGAACTGTATTCCGGAAATTTCGGCAGCTTATTCTGCAGATAAAAGTAAGTAAAAAAGTTTGTATAAATGTATGTCCTAAAATGCTTAGTTTCAGAGATACAGGGTGTAGAAGTTTCGTTTTTATTTCGATTTTTTACAAATATTTTATGAAGTAACGTCAATATTTGGATGAAAATTGGTGTCTGGGGGTTTTTTGTCATGAAAAATTTGATTTTGATGTCAATATGACTCTTGCTTCTAGAAGGCGCCACGTACATATTTTTTAACTGGTTTGAAGAGTAATAACTTTTCGTCCGTACCTGTATAAAACTATTGAATAAAAAAATATACATTTACTACGTTTTTTACGTAAAAAAGGTCTCTTGGTAAAAATCGCGTCGAGTAATGGTTCTCGAGATATTTGGAATCGAAATTATCAATACCTCTCTTCATTGACATAAATTAAACATGTTAACTAAATAGTTATTAGACTGAAATCATAAATTTGAAATGTTTTTGAGTCAAAAGTCCAACAGAAACTGTTTTGGTTTGGTTTCATCACATTCTCGAAGAAAAATTTATTTTTTTCAAACGCTCAACTTGTAGATTGTACTTTAGTTTATAATCATCTGCTGATGATGCTAACATGGTTAGCGAAACGCGCGTCCAGTGTAAAAGTAAAAGTGTTTTGGTGTATTGTGGTGATTTAGTGTTTTTATTTTGCTGTGTAACACCAAAGGTTCCAACCCTCAACTGTAATAGTCAATAATAACATGTATTAACTATTTCCATTCTAAATATTTTGAAAACGGTTGCTCTTAGCGATTTTTACCAAGAGACATTTTTTACGTCAAAAATCATGGAAAAGTATATTTCTTCACTCAGTCGTTTTATACAGGTACGGAAGAAAAGTTATTACTCTTCAAAACAGTTAAAACCTTTAAATAAGAAGACTAAGGAAGGAGCATATCAAAAATCTTAGGTCCACCGCGATGGGTCTCAAATATGGCGGACTTAAATTCCGGTTTGTCAGTGCCGTTCTAATTTTATTTAAAAAATGTAAAACTATGATGTACTGATAATAATTATTTATAATCATAAACATCCGATACGCTACTGAAGCAGGTAAGTCAAATTGACGTATCTAAATTCTTTGACATCTAATCTTTGACAAGTAGTAAATAAAACCAAAAATGCAAGAAAAAATATATAATTAGTTAATTTAAGTGAATTTCATAAATGATCGGTTTATTACATGTATGTATATTATATAGTCACTTACTAGCGAAAAGTTGTTCCATTATTTCACTCGATTTTTGCAGACATCTACCACACGCTACACAACCAACTATTTTAGAGTCTTTTTCGATAAATCGCGGTAGTGTCACTGTTATTTTAAGTTCTGCAACACAATTTCCGTCTAGATTTACTACCTTTATACAACTATCAGTAGTAGAATAAATAATAAATAACATAAAATAAGCTCCGTAAAGACTGACAAATCCACAAAATTTCAAATCAAATTGAAATGTGTCAAATGAATCGTCAAACAGAACTGTCAAGGATCCCCACCCTAGAGTCCTTTTTCCGCCCACCATGCATGAATACATGAATAGCATTATGCTCCTTCCTTAGTCTTCTTATTCAAAGGTTAAAACACATGTAGGTGGCGCCCCCTAGAAATAGGAGTCATATTGACATCCAAATCAAATTTCTCATGTCAAAAAACTCCCAGACACCAATTTTCATCCAAATATCGAACTTAGTTAAGAAATTATTTGAAAAAAAAACGAAATAGAAATGAAAATTCTACACCCTGTATCTCCGAAACGAAGCATTTCAGGACGTACATTTATACAAACTTTTTTACTTATTTTCATCAGCAGAATATGCTGCCGAAGTTTCTTACTAAGCCTAAGCCCACGGCCACATAGAAAGCGTTTTTTGCGTTTTTATTATATAAAAATATTTTTATAAAGAACATCTACTGTTTAGGAAGATTCTATTAATTTCAAAAATTTGAAGAAAATGTTTGAAAAAAGTGTAGCTTGAAATCTTGAAAAAGTAATAAATTAAATATTTTCTTGCGCGTAAAAAATAGTTTTTTATGCGTAAAAAGTGTTTTTTCTGCGTAAAAAGTTTTTTTTAACAGAAACAAAGTTTTTGACGCGTAAAAAATAGTTTTTACGTGTAATAAACAGTTTTTTTACACGTAAAATTTTTTTTTGGTTAAAAAAGTTGGACAGGTAAAAATTCGTTTTTTACGTGTAACAAATACCGTATGATCGAAAAAAAATGGCGTCCAGTTGGCTGGGAAATGACGATCGATGACATTTCCCATATAAATTTACATATAAAATGACAGCGATCTTCATTTCATAGCCATCGTTTGGTTTGGCCGTTTTTTCTCGATCATACGGTAGTTCTTTACAAGTAATTTTTTTTGCCTAACAAAAGTTTTTTTACCAGAAACAATAAGTTTTTGACGCGTAAAAATTAGTTTTTTACGTGTAACAAATAGTTTTTTACACGTAAAAAATATTTTTTTTGGGTAAAAAAGTTTTTTTACCAGAAACAATAAGTTTTTGACGCGTAAAAAATTATTTTTTTACGTGTAACAAATAATTTTTTACACGTAAAAAATATTTATTTTGGGTAAAAAAGTTTTTTTACCAGAAACAATGTTTTTGACGCATAAAAATTAGTTTTTTATGTGTAACAAATAGTTTTTTTCACGTAAAAAATATTTTTTTTTGCGTAAGAAAGTTTTTCTACCAGAAACAATAAGTTTTTGACGCGTAAAAATATAGTTTTTTACGTGTAACAAATAGATTTTTCCAAGTAACAAATAGTTTTATACACTTAAAAAATAGTTTTCTACCAGTAACAAATAGTTTTATACGCGTAAAAAATAGTTTTCTACCAGTAACAAATAGTTTTATACGCGTAAAAAATAGTTTATTACGTGTAACAGTTTTATTCGCGTAAAATAATAAAAATAGTTTCTTACGTGTAACAAATGTTTTTTTACACGTAATAATTTGATTCACTTTTACAAAATTTGTATTATATTTTTGATAAACACGTGTACTGATCACAAATACACGTCACGTCACTACGTATTTCTAAGCCGTTAACACGTTTCATTACAACAAGCTCGTGTGTCAAGGCCGTCTCACTAGCTCGTATGTCACGGCCTTGAATTTTTACTCCCAGAGCGCGTAAAGAAGTTTTACTCCAAAATGTTTGATAAATCATGTCCTAAAATTGCATTAGCAACTAGAAATATTTACTATTCTATTATATAATTATAATTACCTATTTATCATATTATATTATAATTATAACAAGTACTAACCACAACACTACAATATAAAAAAACTATATACATATAAACTAAAATTCGTAATATAAATGATGCGACGTTACTAATTGACATCTTGATAGAAACTGCAAACCTGCCGCGTATTTTGCGTGTTTTTAATGGACACAAATCGAAAAAAAACGCTTAAAAAGGTAAAACCGCAAAAAGCGCTTGAGACGCAAAAAACGCAAAACGCTAAAAACGCTTTCTGTGTGGCCGTGGGCTAAACAGAACAATATCAATAAAAAAATAACATACAAATAATCATACAAACATGTTTATCAGTTAAAAGACACAGTAGATCAAAATTAGAAAATGAAATATATGTATATACAATTTAAAATAGATTAAAATGTTTCCCAACAGTCAAATAAGTCACATTTACCAACCATCAGCAAAATACTCTTCAACATATAATAATAATTTTAAACTCTAGTACTAATATTAAAGAAAACATCTTACCTTCTCTCTAGTTTCCTTTTCATGTATTTGTTGAGCCAATACATCTGATCTTTGTTCACAAAACATCAGCGCTTTTAGTTTACTAATTTCATTTCTTAATTCTCGAATTAACTTAACATTAGGATCCTCGTTAACTGTTGGTTTATTAATAATATTCTTTGCCCTATTAGCATAGCGCAAAGTACTTAATGTTTCACCATAATTACAATCTGCCAAAAAAAAAAATATATTAATTCATTTAGCCTAAAAAATAAATTAATATAAATACCTGCCGGGCTAATAGCAGCGATCATGATAGTTTTAGAATTGCCTCCTAAACTATCTTTCAGTAGCCATGTTAAAACTGAGTCTCTGTAAGGTATAAACGAGGCTCTCCTTTGACCGTTTTGATCCTTTGGGTCGCTCGAGGATAGTTCTGCCAAAGCAGATATAACAGAACCTAAAAATATCCGCATAAATATGTAAACTTAATAAAATTTTAAAAAAATCACCTAAAGTAACCAGTGACTTATTAATATGGGCCCCTTCTTTTAGTCTTTGCCCTGTGGCTCCAGTTGAATCGGCTCGTTCGCTACCGGCCAGATCAACAAGATGAATCTGCAAGCATTTTAGAAATTACAAATGTCAGTCAATAATTTTAAAGGTAAATGACAGAAAAGAACATACAAAAACTTTATGCAAAAGATTTACTTACTTTTGAAACTGTTTCACTTGGAACTCCATCACAGTAACCAGCCTGAACAAAAGTTATAGTAAAAATTGCATGACTCCGACTGCTCACATCGTTCATATTAGTCGAAGCTGTGGTTCTGTGTGAATTTCCTCTAAAAAAATACATTTTATAACTGTAAATTTAAAAAAAATTACTTAAATATTTACCTATTCATGCAATCTTCTATGTGGCCGTAATTTGTAACCCAACAAGTAGTTAAACCTTGTACATAGGGGCCTTTTTTAGGATGTTCCCTCACTTTTAAACTGTTACTTTCCTTAATTCTTCTATCGATAAGCAAATCAGCCACTCTTTCTTGGTAAATCTCCAAGTAACTAACTTGTACACGATGTGTGGTTCCCCTTTTTGAGTTTTCTGACATTCTATCAAATAGTGCTTTGCAAATTCTCGGTATAAGGCCTTGGTTATCCTAAAAAAATAGCTAGTTATCAACAAAAATAGTGTTTTTTCTAAAGCATACATTTGATCCCATCATTGTAAAGGTTTTACCACTGCCTGTCTGTCCATAAGCAAAAACACAAGCGTTGTATCCTTCGAAAGCACAGTCCACTACCTCCGTTCCTAAATCACTATAGACGCTTTCTTGAGATGCATAATTATCTGATTTGAAATCATGAGACCAATAGGAATGGTCAAAAGTAAACTCTTTGTAACGAATGTTTTCGTCTCGAGCGTTAGCCTAAAAAATCAACACACAATTTCATTAAGCTTCTTAAAATAGAATGTAAATATGGTTGGTGCCAAAGTGACGATGCCCTACATTTTTAACTGCGCCATATAAATAAACAATAATTTACCTTAGAGTTTAGAATTCCTGTCGTTTTGCCTTTCATTTGAATTATCAGTTGGGCCTCCATATCTCTTTCCCTAAAAAAACACAGAATTAACAAAAAAAAATCATTGTTTAAACGCGCTCAAGCGTGTAATTTTACTATACCTCTGATTAAAGGGTCTCACCCGGACGGCGACTTTCACTGAGGCCATTTTTTCAATATTAGTATTACAAAGTAATGTTTTTCAATTATTTAAATCACATTATTACAAAATAATGCCCTTTTGTTTTTGTTTTGATAAAGACCAGCGTTGCCAATGGTCCAAAATTATATTCCACGGCGAACATACCCAAATTCCACAAAATTCCACAATCACTAGGTTCGGTCTTTAGGTCTGCGACCAGGGTTCGGAAAACTAAATGCTACTTTTAAAAACTACATAAACTACATTACATATAGTTAATGTAGTTTATTAGTTTATGTTACATTTTTTACAACCCTCTATATCTCTGGTTCAATTCAAGTTCTCTGGCGGTTAGGTTAACTCTGGCATCAAAATGTTCGAAAACTGAAAAGAAGAAGTCTATATTTTATTTTATCTGTGGATTGACGTTTGTCACTTTTTGATGCTAACTTCGGAGGTATATCCATCAAAAAATTTAATTTGGCAAAGCTTGAAAAAGTTTATGATGTTTTTAAGGAGTCAAACTGTAAAGAAAAAGAATAATTGACGATGTCTCTATCCGTAGAACAATGTGATATATTACTGGAGTAAGCTTACTAAAAGAATTAATTAAGATTTAGTATTAACTCGGTTATTTTAGCATTTTGGAGAAGAGCAATGTGCGGACGCATACCTTGGAAGCTTTGACTAATGATATACACAAAAAATTTGATTCCGCCGATTATTTTAAAGGTAAGAATTATAATAGGTTTTTATTTATGATCTATTTTGATGCGAATACACCGTTTTAGTTGGTTCTTGTATTGTCATGCTTCTACAATATGATATGCTTCCAGAAATTGATCAGAGACTAGCCGCAATCACACTATTATATGAATTATTTAGAGGAGAACCGTTAGGAAACACCCCTTTTGCTAGCGTTTTTATCCACCTACTAGTAAATGCAAACTTAAATTATAATAGTCATATATTAAATTATATTAAAAACAAATTAAATTTTTATACATAATAAAGTACTTTTTAGTATCCGCCAGAGCAACATAGCAATGTTGGGGCTCCAAAACTCGAATATCCTGGACAGCTACCCAAACTGACACCTGCAGAAAAACATTTTGTAACACAATTAATATCAGACGTGTCCAAAGATGCCGTAAATGTTTAGGAATTACTCTTTTAATTAGTTTAAAATGTACTGTTTTTAGCTTTTAAAAAAGACAGCTTTACATATAATTAGTTCAGATGTTCCGTCTTCCCCAAATGCAGATTTCAGTGCTGTTCGATTATCTCTAGCTGAAAAACAGTCAGAATGGCCTAAAACTTGTAAATCTGCCATTCCCGTTATTTTATCTTTACCTGATAAAACTGCAAATAAGTAAGTTACTTTTATGTATATCAGCTATAGAGAAATCAATAAAAGTTGGCCTGCACATCATCAAAGACATTGATATTATTATATAGATTCCCAATAAAAAAGCTTTTGTGTTGATAGTCATTGCAAATGTTATCATGAGATTTTTCTTTGCAAATCTGATATTTATCATTTTCGATTTTATTAATTATTTCTAATCTGCCATATGTCATTTTCAATTTTATTCTAAGATTTCTTTGACAAATTTGAAATTTAATCTGCGTTTTGTTTAGTTAAAACTGCTATTTTTATTTATTTAGTTAGAAAGGTAAAAATTTATATTATTGCGCAAGTTTTGCGGTTTTTATGAAAATACATAGATCTTTCAGCATGTTTCAACTGTGCTCAATAGCAATACCAGTTTACAGACTGTGAGTAGAATCTCACAAAAAGTTAAGACTAATGTTAACCAATTAGAACTTTACATTTTTTATCTTTCATTCAGAAAATTTGCTAATAACTTCGTTTAATTAATTTTTTTGTGTAATAATCATAGACAAAGTAATAATGTAGATATAAAAAATATTTGTATATGTATTATGTCTGAAATTCAAGTGAAAACTTGGTGACAAAATTACGAATTTTATTTAACACTTGTCGAAAGTCAAAGTAAAAAAAGTAGCCGTGGCAACATTGCAACATGCATTTGTCAAACATTTTGATGACCTGCACACAATATACCCTGCTGGTCATCCAATTTATGTGGTCTGGATTTTAATGTGTTTGACAGAGAATAATATAAATGACCTGTTGACAGACAGAAAGACAAAATCAAAAGCGACATACAGTGTTGCCGGTTTTTATACCACTGAAATGATGATAATATATCTAAACTAAATATAATCTATTACTGCTGTAGTAAAATGAGTAACTAATAGTGAAAAATAAAGTTCCAACCCTAAATGCAATATTTTTTGTAAACGCCTACTTGTGCGGTTTGAAATTTTGGTGCAAAATCCGACAATACCGCATAGAAGAAATGTATACGACCCAACTTTTATCTCTTTTTAATACATTTGATTTTCCATTAAGCTGTCTACATCACTGTCTTACACGTTAAAATAAAGACCGCACAGTTTCGATGACCAAATGGGTATACCGTATGAAAAAAAAACGGCGTCCAGTTGGCTTATAAATGACTATTGATGACATTCCCCATATAATTTTACATACAAAATGACAGCGATCTTCATTTCATAGCCATCGCTGAGGTGTTTTTTTTCGATCATACGGTATTTATAAACTATAGTTAATACTTATACTAAGGGCTGGCAAAGGTTACTTTTGGGTCGAGATTTCCGTATGTAAGAAGGGTACAATGCGTTTATTAATGTACTGAACGAAGAGAGAACAGTAAAAACGTTGCCAAACGTATGAAATAAACGTGAATAAACCGAGAAACTGTGCTATGCACACTGGTAAGCTAACAATAAAAGAAAACAATAAACTGCACATTGCTAAGAGACGTAGAAGGGGATATAGAAGATTCAAGTGTAAGTTAGAAACACTTGCACTTTTGATAAAAATAAGTGGAATTGAGTTGGTGTTCGATAGTGGTCGCGCTATTAGAACTCAGAATTCAAAAATCGATATCTCGAAATCCATTACAAATAATTGATTCTAGTTTTTTTCGAAAACTCTTAATATTTCTGCTATATTTTCTTCGCAGACAGTATGTGAAAATCTTTATAAATAAAAAAGTTACACGATTGCTGAAAATTGCTATGCACTAAAAGTAAATAAATGTTTTTTTTTAATTTTTGAATGGAAAAAAACAAGCCTATCGAATTTTTCTTAGTGTCTTGTAAAGATTCGAACTCCAAAAAAAAAAGAAAATTTCAATATCCAAAGTTGTTCTTGGGTTATCGCGTGTTGTAAAAGTTCAGTTTTTAAATTATCGCGATTACTGACGTTTTCTCGTTATAAAAAATTGACACCCTAACGATATCCTTATAATTCCATTTCAGATGATCAGCAACATATCTTAATAATTTTATCTAGTTATCTTTTCGAAAAAAAAGTCTTTTAAAAATATGCGGTTTGCGATCATGATTTTACTTTACTTGATAGGGAAAGGCGCACCGGAGAAATGTGGCAACACCGCAACAGCCCACCGTCGCATTTCTCTCACTCCGACTTAATAAAATACCTATGCGATTTACTTCCACACGTGTAAATACCGACCCAAAAGTAAGAGTTGTCAGCACGGTATGTCTGCACGTGAACTTTTATTGTTTTCTCTATACAGGGTGTTTCAATTTCGGCTCTCACCATTGGGATCTCTTTATTGCATATCATTATTATGATCTTTTATTTAAGCGCAACCGAGGAACTGAACCGAAATCTGGTAAAACAGTTAGCTACGGGAGAAAATGCCCCCGTATCGAGGGTGTATAAACCGGAATTTGTAACGTTAGCCCCGCCATTGTTGAATTGTCAAGATGAAGTAACAACTAGCGCAATGATCTGTTGTTTATGGTTTGCTAAGATATATATTTTTTTCTAGTTAGTTTGGTTAAATCCAACTACACCAAAGGAACATCTCGTTTGTTACGATACGACAATGTGTATACCGGATATCGCGGGTTATGAAGCCAGACAACTGATGAATAAGGCCTACAAAGCGGCGTTGTCGATTCCACAGCAACAGCAATTGTTGGGAGAGCTGGAAAAAGATCCAAAATTAGTCTACCATGTAGGATTAACACCTTCCAAAGTTAGTAAGATAAAAAAAATCTCAAATATGTTTTTATAATAATTGATTATTTAGCTTCCAGAATTGGTCGAGAATAACCCCTTAATAGCAATAGAAGTCTTGTTAAAACTCATGCAGTCGAAACAAATAACAGAGTACTTTAATGTATTGGTAAACATGGAAATGTCTCTTCATTCTATGGAAGTTGTTAATAGGTATTTATCAATTTTTAGTATAGGAAAATCAATAAAACTTGCCTTGCACGTCATCAAATTATTTGACGAATGTACGTCGCAATTGCTGTCCTCCTTTCACGCAGTTGAGCAGCTCTGAGCTGTTCGCCTTCGAAAAGTCGCCTTGACTAGGATTCGAACCTGCCTTACTACGGCTCCAACGTCGTAGCAGCGTAAAGTCCTAACGCTTTAACCACGCGGCCACCGAGGACTTGAAAGATTCTATGTCAAATTCTTACTTAAAAGATAATGTTTAGTGAAAGTACTTTTTTATTAATAAACATTTATTTAATTCTGTTTTTAGTATTCTGTAAAAATATCAACTGTCTAGCTATAACGGTTCATAAGATAGACCTTTGTGACAGACGGACGGACGGACAGCGAAGTCTTAGTAATAGGGTTCCTGTTTTTACCCTTTGGGTACGGAACCCTAAAAAAGTCAAGTTGATGTGAACTCACGAGGTGATTTTATCATGTAGCTTAATTTAAACAAAAAAAAACGATTATCTTAAAAAATCTTAACCATCCCTCCTGCTGAGAAGAAAAAAATTTGGCCAGTAAAACTTAAGCCACATTATGGCGCCCAACGTGGGCCATAATGTGGCAATGTTAAAATTTTTAAGATACCTAATCGTTTTGTTTATATTAAACTACATAAGAAAATCACTGAATATCCTCAATAGAATAATATATTAATATCAAATTAATATCCTTTTCTTGCTTAATTTTAGACTTACCACCACAGTCGACCTTCCCACCGAATTTGTGCATTTGTACATTTCAAACTGCATATCGACATGCGAAACCATTAAGGACAGGTACATGCAAAATAGACTAGTCAGACTAGTGTGCGTATTTTTGCAGTCTTTAATACGAAATAAAATCATTAATGTGCAGGTAATAAGTGATAATCGATTTATATTTAGAAACCAGCTAAATTAAATATTTTTTTAGGAACTTTTTATTGAAGTTCAAGCATTCTGTATAGAGTTTAGTAGAATTAGGGAAGCTGCTGCATTGTTTAGGCTATTAAAACAGCTGGAGTCTGGTGAACTCGGGCTTCTATCATCGCCTACTTTAGAAAACAAGACAAAACTGGAGGGTTGATTTTTTTTTTTTATATTCCAATAAAATCAACCTTTATCAGTTCATGTGTTTAAACATGGGAACTACAACCGCCACAACTTAACAATTTAAATATTTTAAGACAATGAGAAAAACATGAAACAAATATTTTTTAGAAAGTAAATCGATTTTTTTAAACTACCCATTCCTAATATATATCATATATAAATTTAAAAAATTATGCAGCCATCAAAACTATTAATCCGTGGTGTAATAGTGGTATATGGTATTTTAAGCCTACATCATAATTATATGATCAAGGCTTATAACTAGAAAAAGGTCAATATCTTTCCTCCGAACATATGATGCTATCTTCATGTTTATAAAAAAAATTATATATGATTATAACGTCCTTGATTTTTTATAATTTGACCTTGGGCAAAAAAAATGCTCCACAAGTTTAAACAAATTTACCTCATACGATAAATAATCGTTATAATTTTATTTACTATTTCATAGCATTAACTTTGATATACACATAAACCCATATTATTTAGTACTAAATCAAAATTTGAATGTGACAATCTCCAGTATTTTATTTACAGACTCTTTAGAAGGTATCAACTGTGGACTGTTAATAACTGGAAAATTATTGAGTTTTTGATTTCTAGATTGTCCTATTTTAGTCAAAATGTTATTGTGTAACCTGGTAAATAAACTGTTCAGTTAAAACTTGGAATAAAACAGCTTGATCGTATGAAAATGGGAGTTTTAGATATATATTCCTTAGATGATACCGAAAATCGAAATGTTATCGCTTCACTACCCAGAGGAAAACATATAATAGGCCGGGGCGACTTATTAAATGTAAATTTGTGGTATTTTAATACTACACTTCTATTTCTAACTAAAATATCTTACAGGTAACAGATAAAAGAGTTTCACGCAAACATGCCATTATTATTGTGTCAGATGAACGAATCACTTTAACATCTGTAAGTTTATCTTTGTATGAGAAACAAACTAAAATTAGCAATAATTACTATTTTAGATACATCAGAATCCTTGTTTTTTTCGACCTGCAAAAGGAAATGCGTTAACCGTTATAAAACAAAATGAAGACAATGAATTAAATGACGGAGATCAATTTTCACTTTTGCCTGAGACTTATTGGTTTAAAATAAAAGTGAGATCTGATGAAAATGAAAGTAGGTTTATGATTTACTTTAATTTTATATTTTTTAGTTATGAAATCTGATGATATAAGAAAAGAAAAAAGTGTGCTCTCTCTAAGTTTAAAACAAATTTTTATTTATTATAAATTTAATTTGGTAATAGTTCCAAAGTCTTTAATGATGTGCGCGCCAACTTTTATGATTTCTCTATATATGATTGAGTTTTATCTAATTCCATAGGTGGTAAAAGGCTTCACAACTATGATGATATAAATACAAGTCCTAAAAAAGCAAAATTAGACTCTGATACAAGTTGTTCACCTTCAAAACAGAGCAATGAAGAGTCTAAAGTACCAAATGAAGAAAATAAGCTGGATACATCACAACATGATTTAAACCAAACCAAGTCGTCAGATGATATGGACATACAGGATAAAGACAAATCAAATAAATCAGATGAACTAAATCATACTAGTGAAAATGCCGAACTAGAATTGACAAATAATAGAGTAACAAACAATGAAGAAAATTTGGCAGAAGCTGTAAACATAACTCAAGAGGATATTTTAGGAGATGTAAAGAATGAAAATGAGAGTGAGGAGAAGGAAATCAAAGAGGAACCTATAGAGGGCGATATTTCTTCTGGTGAAGCACAGAATAATGCCACTACATCGCATGATGGTAACACTGATCAACAGCCCGACGTAAGGGTTGAGGTTAAGACTGAAAACGATGATAGTACAGCTGCTGGAGATCAGAATAAACCTAAACAAAGAAGAGAGAGATGTTGGTATGGTGATAGGTGTTTTAGGTATGTAAATATTATTTTTTTAATCAACTATAGGTACTAAATTATATATATATATTTAATTAAATCATTAAATGAAAAGAAATGGTTTTTGTGCACTATGTGTGCATATTTGAAGTGAACCTTTTTACTAACAGCTATGAAATTGAAGGACTTGAGGGGCAAGTTCGAAAAAGTGTAATTTGAAATGTTGAAAAAGTAATAAATTAAAAAAATATATTTCTTACGCGGAAAAACTATTTTTACGTGTAACAAACAGTTTTTGGCGTGTAACAAATAGTTTTTTTACGCGTATAAAATAATTTTTGACGCATAAAAATAGTATTTTACGTGTAACAAATAGTTTTATACGCGGAAGTGCTTAAGGTTAATTTTTTAGGTTTTTAAATGTTAAGGGTATGGCCATAAAGTAACTAAAATAAAAGAGTGTTTGAAAGGTTGTCTAACTTGGCCATAATGTTGCATAGTTCAGTTAGGGCTCCAAAGCGTCGCCACCTGCTACCTGTCACGTGTCATTACAAGAATGACAAGTGACATGACAGCAAATTATTTGTATTTTGCAATTGTTTACAATTTTGTTTTGAATTTTGGAATTTTGTTATTATTTTGTGTAGCATAAACTTTGTTTGTTTTGTGTTTGTGCGTACAGAAATTATGGACGAAGTTTTATTTCCCGAGGAACGAGAGACCTTATATTTCTCTATGATTTGAACTTTATATTTTGTGCTGTGTTTTGCCATCATCATGTAATATTTTGTTCAGCCGATGATGTGATTTGAACACGATCCAGGAAAGGGTATCATGGAAAGCAAGTTCGATATGTAAAGACATTGCCCATCTCTGAACTCTGTGAACGTAAAACGAACTGACTATAAATTTGCGCCTTCATTTAATAGTGTTGAACATTTGCTACATCAACTGAACTTCAACTGCTGACTGCTGAGTTTATAAATCCAACTTAAAGGTGAATTAATTTTTGATGATATCTTATTTAAATCTTTATCTGTTATAATAGCATAGATTGCAAACCCTGCGATCTTATATGCTTTGTTAGTGGCGTTGTTAAATACGTTTTATAATACTATAGGTAAATCGAAGGGTAAATCGCTGGTGTATTTTGGTGGTGTACAAGATGTTGGCATTTTCGTGGCATTATTGGTATTAGTACTAAATTATTTGGCATTACCTTGGCATTAGTGTACAGAAATTCATCAGGAGTTTACCCCTCGAAGTTAATTCAGCATATATGTTTTATATTATCAAATTTAATTTAGCATTTAACTGTAAGCATTTGAAAAGTCTACAATAGTTTATACTTTTCAAATATTCCGTTTTTAAAAATAAACTTTCGTTATATTTTTGCAGTTTTAATTTCGTAATATTTTAAAAAATACATAAAATTTTATATTCATATTTAAACAGCCCGCCTTTTTTGTGGTAGGCAATGCAGATACCTATTTTACCGATAACGTCTGTCATATTTCAATTAGTTCAGTTAGGGCTCAAGGGTGCGCTACAATCGATCCTCGTTAAACGTGTTGCCTACTTTTGACTATGGAAATGACAACTCTTTTATTTTATATTTCTCTATGGGTATGGCATAGAGAAATATAAAATAAAAGAGATGTCATTTCTATAGTCAAAAGTAGGCAACACGTTTAGCCAAGACCGATAGTAGCGCCCCCTTGAGCCCTAACTGAACTAATGGAAATATGACAGACGTAATCATGTCACTTGTCAGTCTTGTCATGATGTGTGACAGGTAGCAGGTGGCGACGCTTTGGAGCCCTAACTGAACTATGCAACATTATGGCCACACAAGTTAGACAACCTTTCAAACACTCTTTTATTTTAGTTATTTTATGGGGTATGGTTAGGACTAAAACTCGAAGTATGAACCAACCTTAGCCCACGGCCACACAGAAGCATTTTTAGCGTTTTGCGTTTTTGCGTCTCAAGCGCTTATTGTGATTTTACCGTTTGAAGCGTTTTTTTTTTCGATTTGCGTCCATTAAAAACACGCAAAAGAAACGGCAGGTCAGCAGTTTCTATCAAGATGTCAATAAGTAACGTCGCAAGCTCATGGATTCCCGGCCCGTTCAACAATCAATCCTGTGAGAAAGAGATAGGCGAGATCGGCGCGGTTAGCGTTGAAGAGACGAAGATAAAAGATATGCTGGGATTGAATTGTGGACGGGCCGGGCCATATATTCGGAGACAAACACAATCTACTGCTAGTACCAGTGGTGTGTGTAAAAATAATCATTATTATTTACCATTTATTTTACGAATTTTAGTTTATATGTGTATAGCTTTTTTATGTTGTAGTGTTGTGGTTAGTACTTGTTATAATTATAATATAATATAATAAATAGTTATAATTATATAATAGAATAGTAAATATCTCTAGTTGCTAATGTAATTTTAGGTCATAATTTATGAAACATTTTGGAGTGAAACTTCTTTACGCGCGCTGGGAGTAAAAATTCAAGGCCGTGACATACGAGCTAGTGAGACGGCCCTGACACACGAGCTCGTTGTAACGAAACGTGTTAACGGCTTAGTAATACGTAGTGACGCGACGGCGACGTGTATTTGTGAGCAGTCCACGTGTTTATAAAAAATATTGATATTTTATTACAAATTTTGTAAAAGTGAATCAAACTATTACACGTAAGAAACTATTTTTATTATTTTACGCGAATATATTTACACGTAAAAACTATTTTTACGCGTATAAAAACTATTTGTTACGTGTAAAAATCTATTTGTTACACGTAAAAAACTCTTTTTTTACTCGTCAAAAATTTATTGTTTCTTTTTTAAACCTTTTTTACGCAAAAAAAATATTTTTACGTTTAAAAAACTATTTGTTACACGTAAAAAACTAATTTTTACGCGCCAAAAACTATTTATTTCTGTTAAAGAAATCTTTTTTACGTAGAAAAAAACACTTTTTACGCATAAAAAACTATTTTTTAGGCGTAAGAAAATATTCCTTTAATTTATTACTTTTTCAACATTTCAAACTACACTTTTTCAAACATTTTCTTTCAATTTTTTTGAATTTAATAGAATCTTCTAAACAGATGTTCTTTATAAAATATTTTGAATAATACCCTAAAATGAAAAAAATGCATATTATTTAATTTATTTTTATTGTATTATTAAACATAACGTCCGCCTATGACGGGATCTCATCTTAGAAAACGCTAAAGACGCTACAGAAAACAAACTGATTTGTTTTCATTTGCGTTTTTTGCGAGACACGCCGAACGCTACACGCTTTTGGTGTGGCCACTCCTATATAATCCTGTTATTATTATTTTAGTCGCTTAAGACGCTTCACGATAAAAACGCTTTCTGTGTGGCCGTGGGCTTAAGACTCTCCCTTTTCAGGAAGAACCCGAACCACCGGGAATCGTTCAGCCACCCCGGCGACCAAGACTACCCCTCGGACCCGGAAGACGACCGTCCCGTGTGCCCGTACGGCGCCGCCTGCTACCGCACCAACTTGGACCATCGCAGGGAGTACAAGCACGCGGCCAAGCCGGCACCCAAACCAAGTAATGTCACGTTTAGAATGGGCTGTCCCCATTGCGATCATTGCCGCTTGAACGATAAGCCAGGATACGAAAGCGACGTTGACGATGACTATTAAAACATTCTTTTTTTTTTACTTTTTACTCGGTGTTAAGGAAACGTAATATTTTATTATTAAATTGCATAGTCTCTTACATTAATTTTATTGCTTTGATTCGTTTCTGAATTTAAATTGCCGCACAGTTTATGGATCACTGCCTCCAAACGACAGTTTATATTGAAATGAACTTTTGTTAGCATAATTTGTAGGTTTATTTAGAGCTAAAAAAAGGTTTACATCTAAGTTGAATTTTTTGCAATGGAATACTCTATATATTGTTACGGATTCCGTGGGTCCACTAATTTAAACTCACGATATTATACTTAACGAATTTATTTTTCTTCTAAATTTACTATTTACATACAAGTTATACTAATTAAACACACAACTAAATTCACAATTTCCAAACGCGGTATATTCAAACTTCCAACTGTCCCAATTGCCGATTACGCGGGCTTATATACTCTACTGACTGTTTCTCGAACCTTCTAAAATTCTCAGAGAGCGTTCTACTTCCTACGGGAAAATTCCACCGCTGCCCGATTCGCTTTTGCACTTAGCTAAGAGATGGCGCTTCAACAAAAACGTCTTTCACTTTATAGTTAATTCGCCTTGTTTCTTGACACGTAGGCAACCAGCAATACACGTTGCGACAATGTAGGCAACCAGTAATACAGTTGAGCGCCACATACACCTTAACCACGGCACATAAAACAATCGGCACGCCAACTCTACTCAGATTCCATTGTTAAAATTTCTATAAAATTTGACCATTATCGTTTCCTAGTCAGGGCCGGATTAAAACGTATCAAAAAATTTCTCAGAAAATACGACAGGGT